TATATATATATATATATGTGTGTGTGTGTGTGTGTGTGTGTGTGTGTGTACACATGTTGAGTGTGTATGTAGGTACGTAGGTGTACATACATGTGTATGTACAGATGCACACACCTGTGCACCCGCAGAGAGACCAGAGGAAGACTTCAGGCCTGCTTTATCACCTTGTTTTTTTAGACAGAGTCTCTCACTAAACCTAGAGTCAAGATGCCAAGCCAGCTCCTCCAGCAATCTCCTGTCTCTGGCTCCCACAGCACTGGGGTAACAGGCACATGCAACCAAGCCCACGTGGGTGCTGGGAGTTTGAACTCACTTCCTCATACTGGCACAGCAAGCACATTACCCACTGAGCCATCTCCTCAGCCCCCCCAACCCACACCTTTTTTTAAGATTAGGTCTCACTAACTAACTCAGGCTGGCCTCAAATTCTCAGTGACACTCCTGCCTCAGCCTTCCAAGTACTAGATTACAGGAATGTACCACCAGGCCCTCAACAGGAAGAGTTCTTTGAAGAAATAACTGAAAATTTCTCTGTTACAGAAGTGAGAGGGATGAATAAGGACCTTGAAAGGGAGAGAAGAGGAGAGAGAGGAGCTGGGAAGGACTAGGGGAAACAACTGGCTCTAAACTGTGACAATCCCTGGAGCTTTAAAGAACAGCAAGGCAGTGGACAGGAAGAGATGCCTCAGCAGCTAAGAGCGCTGGCTGCTCTTGTCAAGAACCCAGGTTCAGTTCCTAGCACCCACATGGTGGCTAACAACCATCCATAAATCCAGTTCCAAGGGATCCAGTGCCCTCTTCTGGCCTCTGTGGGCATTGCACACACATGGTGCACTTACATGAATGTAGGCAACACACATGCACATAAAATAAAAATAAGTGAAAGAATTTTAAAAAGAGCAGCAAGGTACAGACTGTATGTATGTGGCTGATGCAAGTCTCTGGTCCTCTGATCCCTGTAAAACCTGCAACAACTTCATAGTAGAGGGTGGGCTTTGTGAGGTCTGGAAAACTCAGAGGACATCCAGTCAAAAGCAAGGGGCACACAGTGCAAGACAATGGGAAAATCTATACACCTGGCCTGGGGTCTCAGTGAGCAGAGGGGAAGACACACCAGCCTACCCCCAGCCCTCCTGCCCGGAGAGGCTGCAGGGGGAACTGGAGCACTCTCTGTCTCAGAGGACCTCCTTCCAGCACGTTTCACCGGACTCTCCCAGGAAAGACTCTCTTGAAGTTTGGCTAATTTTCAAAATAGCTTTGTTTAAACTCTGAGAAAGACTTCAGGTTCTATGCATCTGGGGCAGGGGTTACCTGGCAGCCTCTTTCACATCCCTTTAAGTAGACCCTGAGTCCCCATGGCAACCGCAGAGCACCCTCACCTGCCAGGGATAGATCTCTTTCGTGAGGCAGCTTTTGGCGTTACAGCTCAGGAGTCTGTGCAGGGCGTGGGCCACAGCATAGACCGCAGAGTACACACTGTAGACCACGCGCTCTCCGGACAGCACCAGCGTGTTGCTAAATGACTCTGTGGCGTTCAGGCAGGCATCGCAGTCCTGGTTACAGGTGGCCCGCAGGTTGGTCCTGTTGGGTGTGGGAGGCCCACCTCCCGCGTGGCGCACGCGGAAGTCACTGAAGCCGGGTATGGACATCTGCTGGATGGTGATGCCCAGGAAGGTGCCCGTGTGGCGCAGCTCCGTGAAGTTGTGCAGAACTGGGTCAATGGCCCAAGACTCAGAGGCTATCCACACGATCCCCGTGAAGTTCCTGGCCAGCACCTCTTGGAAGAAGTTATGCAGGACCAGCTCCGGGGAGAACACCACCACCACGCGCGCCGAGGTCCCCCACAGCTTGTCCAGGATGGTGTTCAGGTGCTGGCGCTCCGCAGGTGTCAAGACCTGGCTGGCTTCCGGCATGGGTAACACCTCCTGGAAGGCGATACAGATGTCCCGGGTGTTGATCACCCGCTGGCTCAACAGCTGGCTGTTCTCTCGGCCGTAGTCATCGTTGCTCACCAGCACCACTATCCAGTTCCAGCGGAAATGGAGCATTAACTGCACCATGGCCTCGATGTGGTGGGTGGCGCTGGGCACCGTGCGCAGCATGGCAGGGAAGCGCAGCTTGTTCCGAAGCTTGTCAGAGATGGCGCTGTAGGTGACCTGAAGAAGGAGGGAGACTCACTGAAGCCCACCTCTTGGGGGTCGGGGCTTGACATCACTCTGGTGACATTAGGGAGAGCACATACTGGTGATGGCTAATTTTGTCAATTGGACACACTTGGGAATAGGGAAGCTCAAGTGAGGATTTCTTTCATCAGAGCCGGGGAAACATTGCTGATTGGTGTAGGAGGACCCCACCCCCTGTGGGAGGTGCCACCCCTACACAAGTGTGCCTGAGCTGTGTAAAGAAAGCTGACCATGAGCCTGGGAGCAAGCCAGTAAGCAGCTGTGCTGGACAGCTTTAGTGTCAACTTGACACACCTGGGTTGAGGGAGCCTCAACTGGGGAACCCCCTTCATTGGACTGGCCTATGGCCATGTTCATGGGGCACCTTCTTGATTGTTGAGTGATGTGGGAGGGTCCAGCCCACTGTGGGTGGTGCCACCCCTGGGCAGGTGGGCCTGTGTTGCATAAGAAACCAGGCTGAGCAGAGAGGGGCCAGGGGAGCAAGCCAGAAAGCAGCATTCCTCCATGACCTGAGCTCCAGCTCCTGCCTCCAGGTTCCTGCCCTGAGTTCCTACCTTGGACTCCTGGATGAAATGTGACCAGGGAGATGTAAGCTAAATAAACCCTTTCCTCCCCAAGTTGGTATTGGTCAGAGGGTTTTGTCACAGCAACAGAGAGAGAAACTAGGACAGCAGCACTCCTTTGTGGTGTCTCCTTCAATTCCTGCCTTGGCTCCTGCTCTGGCTCTTGAGGATGAGCTGTAACCTGTAAGATGAAATAACCCTTTCCTTCCCAAGTTGGTTTTGGTCAGCATCTTATCACGGCAACAGAAAGCAAATTAGAACACAAACCGAGAGTCATGCCCCCACGCTGTGTTCACACTATCATCATCATGATCACCATAGTAACTTGTGAGAGCCTACTAGACACCACAACCCGGTTAGGTGACCCACATCAGTCTCCTTATCGCCTGGTGACCCTGACTGAGAACCTACCGTGTGTCCTGAGCATCGTGCTTTCCTCCTTGCATCAGCATCCCAGACTCATCTTCAACCACATGCCTTCGTTGCTCTCCTTAGCCCCATACTCGGTCCCCTTCCCAGCTCACTGGTTGCCTCGTCTCCTTTCCTGGTTCTTTCCCTTTGTTGAGAATTCACAGCCTCAGAGCATCCATGGGTGCATCCTCCCAGCCTCTATTCTCTTCCACCCCGCCTCCTTCCTTACTAATCCCACCGAGCCTCTTATACAAATGAAATTTCCAGACCAGCAACCCCATCATCGAACCTTGGTCCCAACCTCGCTCCTGAATCTCAGGCTTGGATTTGCAAATGTCGAAACCTGTCTCAAGCCTGTCTCAAGCATGACCTTTCTGGCACTGGACTCGGGCCCTCTCTGAGCTTCTGCCTTCCCACCTGTCCACAAAGAATCTGTCCCTTCCGGTCCTCAAACCAAAAGCTTCGGCAGCATCCTTGACCTTCTGCCCCCCACCACACACCACACCCTCATCAGCCAATCCTTTCAGATCTCTCCTGAGGGGGCCCAACCTGCCACCTACCTCTCCACTCCATCCCAGTCACCACCACCCTGGCCTCTAACTTCTTCCCCTCCTACTTTCCCCCAGGCTCTGGCTCAACTCTTTCTGTTCTGTAAACCCATCAGGCACCTCCTGGATCACACCTGCCATCCTTCTTCCTAAGTGTTCTTCTAGATGCCTGCATAGCTCCTTCAGGCCCTTGAGTCTTTGTCCAGGGGTCAGTGAGCCCACCTGATCATCCTGCTGTAAATTCCAGTTCCCTCTACCCTGTCTCAGTCTCCACCGGAAATATGCCTGCCCCTCTCCTGATGCCTGCCCCTCCCCTGCTCTACTTTGCCTTTTTAAAAATTATTTTTATTTTATGTGTATAAGTGTATTGCCTGAATGTACATAAGTGCATCTGGGTCACGCAATGCCCGCAGAGGTCAAAAGAGGGCCTCGGATATCCTGAAATGAGTTATGGACAGTTGTTAGCTGCCATGTGGGTGCTGGGAATTGAACCCGGGTCCTCTGCAAGAGCAGTCAGTGCTCTTAGCTGCTGAGCCATCTCTCCAGCCCCTCTGCTTTGCATTTTATCTACCATACTTCTCACTGTCTAACCTTCACATCATTCATTTATTTATGATGACAGGTTCCATGCCAGCAGGGACTGTGCTTGGTTCCCAGCTGTTTCCCCAGTACCTACAATTATCCCCGACACACAGTAGGTGCTCGGTAAATACTTGTAACATGAATAAAAGGATGAACTCAGTCCTGCACATAAAAGCATTAACACTTGGGGCTGGAGAGATGGCTCCGTGGTTAGCAGCACTGTCTGCTCTTACAGAGGATCTGGGTTCAGTTCCCAACACCCCTACGGTGGCTAACAACCATCAGTAACTCAAGTTCCAGGGGATCAGACACCCTCTTCTGACCTCCATGGGCATTGTGTGACACAGGTGCACTTACAGACAAAACACACATACACATAAATAAATTTTTTAAAAAGTAGTAACACATATTAGCTGGGTGTGGTGGTGCACGCCTTTAATCCCAGCACTCCAGAGGCAGAGGCAGGTGGATCTCTGTGAGTTCAAGGCCAGCCTGGTCTATATAATGAGTTCCAGGACAGCTGGGGCTAGAGAGACCCTGTCTCAAAAAGACTTTAAAAAAAAAAGTACTAACACATATTGAGTACCTACTGTGTGCCTGGCCCTGTGCTCAGTGCCTTACAGATAAGAACTGAAGCAGCAGTTCCCATGGCTATCCCAGGCTACTGTGAGCCACAAGTGCTCACTAATGAATACACTACACCCCTGCTGGCCCAGGCACTTGCATCCATGATGCTGGAGATAGATTAATAGTCATCAGAGACTGGTGAGAAGATGACTCAGAGGGTAATGGGACTTGCTGCCAAGCCTGACGACCTGAGTTTGATCTCTGGGACCCACATGGTAGAAGGTGAGAACCAATTCCAGCAAGTTGTTTTCTGATCTCTGTATTCATGGCATGTGTGCATGCTCGTCCTAATAAATTAAAATGTAATAAAAAGCTTTAAATGTAAGAGCAGTCAGACTAGTAACACTTTTAAAATTCTTTGTGTGTGCACATGTGTGTATGGGTGCGTGTGTATGTCTGTGTGGTCGACATTGGGTGTCTTCCTCAATTGCTTTCCACCGTTTTTTTGTTTTGTTTTGTTTTTTTTGAGACAGGGCCTCCCTGTAGCCCCAGCTGTCCTGGAACTCACTATGTAGACCAGGCTGACCTTGAACTCACAGAGGTCCGCCTTTCTCTGCCTCCCAAGTGCTGGGATTAAAGGTATGTGTCACCACGCCTGGCAACATACAGTAACTTTTTTTCCCCCCCACCTCATTTTCTGAGACAGAGTCTCTTACTGAGCCTAACGCTCCCCAGTTCAACTGAACTGACTGACCAGTGAGCTCCAGGGATCCTCCTGCCTCCACCCCACTTCCCTCAGTGCTGGGATTACAATGTGGGCTGCTATGTCTGTCTTTTTACATGGTCTGGGGATCCAAACGTAGGTCCCCATGTTTGCATGACCAGCATTTGACTGAGCCATCCCCCAGCCCCTAATAGCCCTTTCTGAGGGCCTATTCTGAATCAGGCCCTGTGCTAGTCAACTGCTAGCTAATCTGCATGCCCTGAGTTCTCGTTCCTGTGTAAGATGTTTATCTGGTAATAACAGCACTGTGGATCACATTCTGTGTGCTGGAAACTCTTACAGGTTGCCCACCTCAACACGTGACAGTCCTGGAATGGAGAGCTCATTGGCCCACTTCAGAGATAGGGAAACTAAGGCTCAGAAGGATGAAGAGTTGTCACAGGCTTACTAACAGGTCTGTCTGTCTCCAAGCCTAGGTTGCCGTCTGTCTCTTCTCACGTTCCTACCATGGTCAACGGGGAAGGGCTCTGACCCTCTGGACAGTTACCCTTCTGCCTCTCCCAGCCCCATCACCTGTGGAACGAGGAAAAGGGAGAGGAAGTTGGACACAGTGATGGTGGACTCGGAGTTGTCAGGACCGATGACGGCCACCACTTGGGGCACATATTGGCTGTAGTCTTTGAGGATGGGCAGGAAGTCGTCATTCTGTGCCAGGAAGTAGAGCCCGGGCTGGACATTGTTGGAGAGGTAGCACACGTCCACTATCTCATAGCCCAGCCGCACGCCTGGCAGCAGGCTGCTATGGTTGTTGATCTCCTCCACGGCAAAGCGCATGGCCTGCATGAGGTTGTAGCCCAGCACCTTCATGTCGAACCTGCAGGGCCACACACTGTGAGGGGCAGGTCCACAGCAAGGAGAAGGAATAAGACAGACCACAGCTCTCTTCCCTGCACCACTACCACTTGCCAAGGAGCTACTCCAGAAGATTCTGGCATTTTTACCACATCCTTGCCACCATAGCACATCTCTAAGGTCACCACTTCCTCCTGTGACCACCACTATACTGTGATCTCTGTGGCCACACCATGATCCCTTTGATAACTACCATTGTCCGCCCATGACCACCCACACCCATGGGACCTCCCCCATCATTACCATCTCCGCTGTCAGTGTCATCTCCCACCATCTCTGTCACCAAAACTGCCAACACTGTCACTTCATCTCTATGACCATCATTACGAACAATAACAACACCATCACCACCAGTACTCCATCATGACCATGACACTGCCATCACCACCACCACCATCACCATCACTATCATCATCACTACTACAATCACTACCACTATCACCATCACCATCAACATCAACACCAATGACACCATCAACACCACCACCACTATCACCATCATCACTATCACCATCATCCCACTACCAATCACCATCACTATCATCACTACCACAATCACCATCAACACTATTGACACCATCACCACCACCACCACCACCATCAGCACCCACCACTATCAGCATCATCACCACCATCACCACCATCACCACCCACCACTATCACCATCACCACCACTGCCATCATCACTACCGCCACCATAACTACCACCATCACCATCACCGCCACCACCATCATCACCATCAGGACCACTGTACCATCGTCACCATTAACACCATTATCACCACTACCATCACCATTACCAACATTACTGCCATGACCACCATCCTCACTAACATAGTCAACACCATCACCACCACTATACCATTACCACCACTATCACCGCTGCCATCATCATTGCTATCATCACCACCTCAGCCATCACTACCACCATCTCCATCATTACTACCACCACCACTATCACCACCACCATCACTATCACCACCACCACTGTCCACCATGGCCAAACACCATTACCATCATCACTATACTGCCATTGCTATCACCATCTCCATCACCACCATTACCAGCATCACCCTCTCTGCTGCCACCACCACTGTTCCCCATTTTTACTATCATCAGTATTGCCCTATCAGTGTTAGCACCATATTTCTGCCATCAGCACCGTCATCACCATAGACCTCATCATTATCACAGACATCAGAAAGCCCAATACCACCATACTTGGTGCCATCTCTGGCACATACATTCCAGTCTCACACCCACTGAGCAACGTTATCTAAATGAATTCTCACAGTCAACCTTTAGTCAGTCTTTCTTCTCTCCCTCCTTTTCTCATCTCCCAGAACGTTCCACCTTCTGGCAAAGATTAGGATGGTTCCAGTGTCCACCCAATCTTCAATGGGTGCTGTCACCTCAAAGGACTCACAGAGGGGGGAAGAAGGAAGTCCCTCCTGGAAGCACAGCTCCAACCTCAGCCCTTGGAAATTACAAAACTCCCTTCCAGTCTGAGAGCCCGCTACCAAAACACCACATTTTGTCTGACAAAAACACAGCACCCGGCAACGAGGTTTTGACACAGTCTCACTGGGAGCCCCCATTTGCCAAAATGTCCAAAAGTTTTGACAGTATCTAAGACCCTCTGAGCTCAAACATCCAGTAAGTCTTTTCAGAAATGTGACATAGGGATGATGCAGGTCTCAGGGTTATAGAACAAAACTGCCTAAAAATTTATTAACACAGATCATGGGGAAGGACAGGATTGGGGACCAGAAGGCTAGATCTAGGATTGAGGGTTGGCAGTGAATGAGAAAGTGTGTTCTGGGCTCTGGCCTCCTAAAACTCCCCAGTCCTGGTTCCTGCCCCCACCCCCTGCCCACCAGTTGTAGCTTCGCACGGGGACTCACTCATTGCACTTGGGCACCTGCAGGTAGTCTAGGTGGGCAACATTCTTCACATTGGCATGGAGGCTAAAGAGGCCACCCAAGAGGTAGTTCCCAGCCAGGTGGAAGTCTGAGTTCTCTGCCAGTTCAGCTGGCTTAGTAAAGATCTGCAGTAGGAAGAGCAGTAGGCACAGTGTTCTTGCCTGGGTCCCCATGATGGCAGAGTGACACAGTGTCAGGAGGTGCCCCTGCCTCACAGGACATGCTGCTCTGACACTGGGGCATTTACATAGTGAAAAGACATTTACATAGTGAAAATTCTGCCCTGGGACAGGTGGACAGCCTTGAGGGCTCTGGGGAGGGAAGGGAGGCTGGAGAAGGATGCTAGGTTCTGGGGGCCCAGCAGGGGACAAGGCATCCCGACGGCTTGGCCACACCCAGCTTTTTGCCACCTGTTTGGGAACAGGCTTCACCTCCCTGACATCAGACTCTTCAGAACAAAAGAACACAGGTATTCCCAGAAGACAGAGCAGAGAAAGACCCCAAGTTTTGGGGCCTGGCATGTGGGGCTGTCCATACGGTGCCTCGTATGGGTGTTCAAAAAGCGGTAACCTTTGTCAGTGAAAGCCAGCCATTGTCTCCTTTGAGGCTCCTGGGATCTGGGGTTATCAGCAGCCCCATTGTGTGGATGAAGAAATGGAGGCCCTGAGAACTTATAAAACTCCCCCTGGGCTGCACAGCTAGCTAAGCTGGCATTCAAACCAGATAGTCTGACTCCTTAGCAGGTAACATAGCTGCTGCACTACATGGCATCATGGGGCCTTTGCTTTTTACAGAAAGTGACATCAGCATTGAGAAAGGAGGAGGGTGGCCTCAGTCTCTCTCGAGGCTGCTGTGTGTCCCTCCTATAATCCACTAGTTCTAGGCCTCCCTGACTTTATGGCAAAGCTCAGGGATGTGGGCAAGATGGAAAGTGAATTGTTCAAATCAGAGCTGCCTGTCCCAGCAGCTTCAGGTAGGAGCCCCTGAAATCAGAGATCTGTGTCCCCAGAATGCTGCACCATCCCTCCTACGGTCTAAGAAAATGTGGCCCAGCAGGAACCTCGGAACATGAAGTCCCCAGCCTAGATGGCTGTCTTGCCCATCACTTGCTGAGGTCCACATGCTGCTAGGAGGCCTGATTGGGTTCCTAAGACCCTGGTGGTCCCCTGGCCTTGCTTACCAAGCCTTCTGCTCCTTCAAGTCCTCTCTGAACCTTCCTCTTCAAAACTACCACCCAGGCCCAGCATCCCAAGAGACATTCCTTCTCTGAGCAATAGAGATGCTCACCTGTTACCAGCCTTATGATCAGTTCCTGCTGATGCCAAGTGCTAGGATTGAGGGTACACCTAGATAATTTTTTTTAACGTATATGCCTGCATGTATGTAAGTGCACCCATGAAGGCAATACACACGGAGGCCAGAAGGTGACAGATTCCCTGGAACTGGAGTTATGAGTGGTTGTTAACTGCCATGTGGGTGCTGGGATCTGAACCCAGGTCATCTGAAAGAGCAGGCAGTACTCTTAACTGCTGAGCCATCTCTCCAGTCCCTGGGTTCTTGCAGGATCTTCCCAGTAGTCCAGGGACCTTTAGGACCAGGGTCACATGCTGGACATTTAGGGGCCTAAAAGGGGCTTATCATAGCTATGATGTTTACTCCCAGTTGAAAAGGAAGAAGCTCAGAGAGGTTAACCAGCTCACCAGAGACACACAACTCACAGGCGATGAAGCCCACACCCAAGCTCCGCCCGCACCTCTGTGCCATATGACTTCCATATGTCATGCCTGTAGGGGCTGTCACTGATCCCTGGGCCCCAGGAGATTTGGACTTACTACATTCCCCTACACAGGATGTACCTCGGGTGCAGGGATTGGAGAAGAGCCAGCTCTCAACGCAGACAGAAGGCTACAGGTGCTATTTGTGAAGAGGAAATGGAAGGATGCTGAGAGCTATTGGCCCTGGAATGTTCTTGTGGGGTGGGGGTGGGGAGGTCTAACCTCGGAAGATGCTCTAACCTCAGGATCCTGTGTAGAGCCTGGCTCTCCAGACTGACTGTGCAACAAGCACTGGCAGAGCCCACTGTGTGCCCAGGCTGGACCCGTGCCAGAGATATACAAAGGATGGGGGTTCCAGTCTGGAAACAGAAACCCAGGCCCTGGTGAGGACAGTGCAGATTAGATGGTGGCCACTGTGGCTGACTGTGCAAGAGCGAAGTGGAACTGCAGACATCCGCAAACAGCTACCACAGAGTAAGGGAAACTGAGGTGCAGGGAGGGGCAGACCAACTACAGATAGGCAGACTGACTGCTGGGCTCTAGTGAAATCTATCAAAGCGAGTCAGGACAGCTCTGGGGAGCCAGGGAGATGGGGCAAAGAGCTTGCTGAGAGGGCCTGTGTGGAGGTCATGGAGCCTGGACGAATAGTGGTGACAGGTCATCACTCTGGGTGATGTTCTGAGAACTCTGTGTGTACCAGGCACTGTGCTGAGCACTTACCATGATCCCCAACTCTTATTTACCTCTTGGGATGTGAGTATGCTCTCCCCACCTTGCAGAAGAAGAGACTAAAGTTCAGGGAGGACCAGTCAGTTATTCAGAAACACGGCAATTTTACTGGGACTATCCAAAGCCCTCAGTGGGGGTGCATGGAAATTGAGGGGCAGTAATGCTGTGGGATATCAGGGTCCCCCAGGCAGGAAGAATTTCCTCTGGTGACCAGCAGCATGTGATACACACGGAGTCTGTCTGAAAACCTGAAGTGGGGGCACGTGGGTGGATGGTCTGAGACACCTGTATCTGGGGTCCAGCTCTACCTGGCATGCAGGCTGCCCTGGGCACGTCACCCTTATTTCCCAACGCAGTCCATCTGTGCAATGGACTCTTCTTCTCAGGGCTCCAAGTGAGGCTCCTTGGGTGATGGAGAGGAAGCCTTCCACACTAACACACACTGACATATGCACCAGGACCCTGAAGCTAAGCTTCTGTGAGCCCCAGAAGCCTGTCCACAGGTTCAGCTCTGAGGTGACCTCTAAGGTCTGCTCTGGCCTTGACAACATCTAGAAGAGCAACCAGTGGCTGGTCAGTGTGCTAGCTATCCTGAAGACAAACGTCTAGAACTCGGTGTGGCCTGAAGTCTGTCTTTTGGTGCTGCACACAGACACCCCAAGGTGTCTTGACACACTGTCACCCTCATGGGGTGGGGAGGTACCTGGTGCTGTGTGGCTACTGGCTGCCAGGGGGACAGTCAGCCATGACAGACATGCAAAGCACATGGGGCAGGCAGAAGGGGTGGCCATGGGCATAATGAGTCCAACCTGGTCCATTGGCTTAGCATCTGCCCGGGCACACACAGGAAGGAACAACCTCACCATCTGGAGTGCAGCTTCAAAGTTGCCCTTGACCTTACCCTCCATACACATAGTAGATGGAGGGGCTGCCAGGACCGGTGGCTGCACAGGCTCCTCCCCCACCACCTTCCACTGTGTCCTCTTGGCCTTCTACCCCCTTGCATCCTCCAGTCCCTCTCTTTGCATCTGCCCTCTTCCAGGACATACTACGCTGCAAGCTGGCTTAAGGTGTGGAGGGGTGGACAGGTAGCACCCCCTCAAGGCCCTCAAGCTGGCCTGCCTTGCTCAGAGGCCTCTGAGCAGGGAGTGCTGGGGAGGTCTGTGCCAGTTCCCATGGGCCAGACCTGTAATCCCAGCACATCAAAGGTGGAGGCAGGAGGATCAGGAGTTCAGTGCTAGCCTTGGCTACACAATGAGTTTGAGGTCAGCCTGGGCTACATAAGATGCTGACTCAAAAACCTAACAGACAAAAAAGTCTGAAGGAGGGAGTGGCATGCTGGAGGCTAGGAACCTAGTGCTTGGCTGGGAGCTTCTGCAGGCTCAGGACATCAGCCTCCTAATGCCAATTCATCCTTCTCACCAAGCTTGGATGCATCCCTCTCCACTTCTAAGCCTCAGGTCTCATCTATGAATGTAGATAAAATAAGTCCTCCAATCACAGGCTGGCATGGTCTAAATGGAAAGGATATGGGGCGCATAAATACGTCATCATCGTGGGACTGTAACTTCCAGGGCTGAGACGCTGGGGCTGAGTGTCCTGTCCTTATTTACCCAGTGCAGGCCATTGCTCCACTCCTGAGAAGTGTTAAACACCTGACTGGAGGGGTGGGGTACAAGGAAGAGGGGTCAGACCTGGGACTCCATCACTGGTCAGTCTGACCAGAGGCTGTATTTATGGCCAGTGGCTCAGCATTTAGTGATGTGGCCTGATCAGGACAGTCATTTCCTATTGTACTGGTGCCCTGCCACCCACCCATCTGTCCCTCAGTGTCCTCATCTGGGAAATGGGTGGATCAGAACACATTTCGTGAGCTACTATGATGATAGGTTGAATTCTTAGTTGTTTTTTTTTTTATTTTATTTGTATGTATGTAAATGCACCACATTTTATACAATGCCTGCAGAGGCCAAAAGAGGGAAGTTGGGTCTCCTGGAAGTGGAGAGTCAGATGTTTTTGTCATCATGTGGGTGCTGGGACCAAACTGGGTCCCCTGAAAGAGCAGCAAGTGCTCTTAACTGCTGAGGCATAGCTCCACATATATAAACACACACACACACACACACACACACACACACACACACTAAACGGGGTCTCCCAAAGCCCCAGCTGGCCTGGAACTCAATATGTAGACCAGGCTAACCTTGATTTCACAGAGATCCATCTGCCTCTGCCTCCTGAGTGCTAGGATTAAAGGCATGTGCCACCACATCTGGCTATTCTGTTAAAACAAGTTTTTATTGAATTTAGTGTGTGTGTGCGCTGGCCAAGCGTGCAAGTATAGAGTTCAAAGGACAACTTATAGGAGTCGGTTCTCTCCTACCATGTGGGTCCAGGGGCCCAAATGCGTCATCAAACTTGATAGCAAGCTCCTTTACCTTCTGAGCCATCTCACTAGCCCAAGGTTAAATTCTCTAAAGTCTTCTGTCCAATGCCAGGCACACAGCCTGTGCTCCAGGCCAACCTGGTCTCAAATCTGAACACTCAGGGATGCGGATGATGGCTGGGCTGCTGCATGAACTAAGGAAAGAGATGGGACTGGGTAAAACTGGCGGGTGTGGGGCTGGAGAGATGGCTCAGCAGTTAAGAACACTGGTTGTTCTTGCAAAAGACCCGGGTTCGAATCCCAGCACCCACATGGCAGTTAGCAACTGTCCATAACTCCAGTCCCAGGGGATCCAACAGGCTCTCTGACTTCCACGGGTATTGCACGACACAGGTGCACTTACCTACATGCAGGCAATATGCGAATACACATAAACTAAAAATAATAAAATTAAAACAAAACCGCCACTCCCTTTGCCCCACCCTGCTGAAGCTCTGGGTCGCCTGGTGGACAAGAGCTGGCACAGGTGGCCCCTCATTTCCTTAGAATGCTCCACTGACAAGCCTGTGGGGCCGTGGCACCAGGAACATCCAGCCGCAGTCAAATGGCTCTCACTGAAGCCTGGGGCTGTGGCTGGGCTCCTGGCCACAGCAGGGAAATGAAGGGACTCGGTGGGCCACAGTAAGGAAATGAAGGGGCTCCCCATGGGCATGGGGACTGACTGTGATGACCATGCAAAGGAACCTCCAGTACCCAAGCATGATGCAGGCACTGGGCCCTCAAGAGCCACCAGCCCCAAGGCACCCACATCAGTTAGCAACTGTCCATAACTCCAGTCCCAGGGGATCCAACAGGCTCTCTGACTTCCACGGGTATTGCACGACACAGGTGCACTTACCTACATGCAGGCAATATGCGAATACACATAAACTAAAAATAATAAAATTAAAACAAAACCGCCACTCCCTTTGCCCCACCCTGCTGAAGCTCTGGGTCGCCTGGTGGACAAGAGCTGGCACAGGTGGCCCCTCATTTCCTTAGAATGCTCCACTGACAAGCCTGTGGGGCCGTGGCACCAGGAACATCCAGCCGCAGTCAAATGGCTCTCACTGAAGCCTGGGGCTGTGGCTGGGCTCCTGGCCACAGCAGGGAAATGAAGGGACTCGGTGGGCCACAGTAAGGAAATGAAGGGGCTCCCCATGGGCATGGGGACTGACTGTGATGACCATGCAAAGGAACCTCCAGTACCCAAGCATGATGCAGGCACTGGGCCCTCAAGAGCCACCAGCCCCAAGTCTGAGGGAACAATGTCATGGCTTTGAGGCACCCCCTGCCCCCATCCTAGTTAAAAAGAAAGCGAAGGTACTGTTTGGGGGAAGAGAAACACAGTGACAGGGACAGAAGAGCCCAGAAGCAGGTGACCTCAAGGATCAGGTAGCCAAGGACATAGACTATAGGCACCCAGACTATATAGAGTGGGTTCAAACCCACCTTCCCACCAATCAACTGAGTGATCTTAGACTAGTCATTGCCACCTACCACTGCCCCTGACCTCTGTTAGCCTTGCTGAGAAAGTCAAATAGTGGCCTGGTATGGCCGTTGGGAGAGAGGGGCTTCCACGAGGGCTGGGGTGCAGCTCAGTGGCAGAATGCTTACCTACCATGTATAAGATGCTGGGGTCCACTCCCAGTGCTCTGAGGAATATTCAATGGGACCTTGAGCAAGTGACATTGTTTATTCAAAAACATCAACAGAGTCCACTGGTCCCTCTACCATAAATACCACCTGTCTCTTCTGTAAGTCACAACCAGGGCACTCAGGGTAATGTCTGGCAGGTAGCTACCGTGGCCAGTTGGCTTGTGCCCAGTTTTGCCCACAGGCACAGCCACTCATGGGCTTCTCACAGGAATCAGTGGCAGCTCCAACAGGACCACTATGGGGGTTCTGCCCAGGAATCTCTACTTGCTGGGTTCAATTCCTAGCACCCCCATGGTGGTTAACAACCATCTGTAACTCCAGTTCCAGGAGATCTGATGCCCTCTTCTGACTTCCACAGGCATTACACAATACAGGTGCACTTACATACATGCAGGCAATACATTCATACACACAAAATAAAAATAGTATTTTTAAAAAAAGAAGCCAGGGCCTGGTGTGGTGGTGTACAACTTTAGTCCCAGCACTTGGGAGGCAGGGGCAGGTAGATCTCTGTGATTTTGAGGCCAGCCTGGTCTACAAAGTGAGTTCCAGGCCAGCTGGGGCTACAGGGAGAGCCTGTCTCAAAAAGACCACACACAGAGAAAAAAAAAAAAGCAGAGCCAGTGATCCTCCATCTTTATCCACTCTTCAAAGACCACCACTTTGATTAGGTAGCAGGCGTTTTATTGGGAGGCAGCAGGAATACCCCTGTTCCCCCTCAGTGTAGAACCAGCAGCCCCCAACAACACAGACCCTGGAAGGAGGCAGAGCCAGAGCCCACCTGGTATTGGGCACCTGCCCCTGAGTGTGTGCCATGGTGAGAAAGAGGGGCACTTGGAGATGGCCACACCAGCTCCATGGGGTCCCCCATCCAGCTGTCCTTGAGAGGGAACCCAGCACTCTCTGATTCCTAAAAACCATCCCTAAAGGTCTGGCCTTAGTAACCACTGATCATCCAGGACAAGCAGGAGCTTACTCCTGGCTGCATTCAACAAGAATAGGCAACTGAGGGACCACACAGAGCTACTTGGGTGCTATGGAAAAGACACTCCAGGCCACATCCTTGGCCTGGGCTGGAGGAGAAGCCCAGGCTCTGTCTCAGGGACAGAGGGAACAGTAACTGCTGCCTGGGTAGAACTCAGGCCCTGAGATGGGTTTTGGGAAGGACATCCCCAAGGGTAGGACCAGAAGAGCTGAGGACACAGCAACAGCAGAGGCCAACCCTGAGAATCTGCCACCACTCCCAGCAGGTGACCAGGAGGGATGAGGGCCTCAGAGTAACACAGGGACTCTGGAGGAAGGCACATGGGTCCAAGACACATGACTGGGCATAGATGCGTGCAGCGGATCTAGCCTAGACCAAGAAGCAAGGTCAGCTGTACCCCCTTGCAGTCACCCAAGGTCTTATCTCACTGGAGACCTGGAGGAGCTGAGCGGTGAGGCTGCAGGGAGCTGGGGCTCTTTTCCCCACAGGGTCCCAAGAGCCAGTCTATTTCTGTTCTCCAGGTCCCTCAGCCACTGGGTTCAGGATGAGAGAGAGAAGCAGACAGGTGGAGAGCCTGTCAGGCACCAGGGTGGTTTGTAGTAGGTGGAATAAATCTCCAGGGTGGCCCTGTTCCTCCCCAACATGACCCTAAGCTGGAGCCTGGGCATCTGACATGAAGGACAGGATGGGTCAGGATATAGGTCAGTGGCCAGGACAAGGTCAATCAAGCTCAGCTGTAGAGGGTCCAGGGGGAACTGATGAGGGACAGGGTTGGGGTCAGTGTAGTGACATCACTTGCTTGGATGGGCAGACAGGTAGACATGCCTGGATGGACAGGCACAGGCTGGGGTTCATTCCATATAGGAGTAGCGCCAGTCCCCCAGCGGCTTATGCGTCTCCTTGATGACCTGGGGCGAGGTCCAGCGCAGGATGTAGTGAGGGCCTCCTGGCTTGTCATTGGTTCCTGTAGAAAAGAGAGTTCTGTTTTTCTTGGAAATGGTACAATGGAGGTAGGGGGGACTGGAGAGATGGCTCAGTGGTTAAGAGCACTTACTGCTCTTCCAGTGGACCCAAGTTCAATTCTCAACACCCATGTCAGGCAACTCACAGCTGCCTGTGACTCCAGCTCCAGGGGATCTGATACCTCTGGATTCTTCAGGGTCTTGAACTCATGTGCAAATGCCCACATACAGACGTACACATATACATATGTGTTTTAAGCAGTACAATGATTCTGGGCAGCAGGGGCAGGGAGGGGCTGGCAGTGAACAGAACCTTAGAGCAGCAGCAGCTAGAGGTGGGAAAGCGCCAGAGGGAATGGACACTCTATCTACAATGCTGAGAGGTTTTGAAAGCTGCAACTCAGCATATAATGCCAGCACTAGAGGGTCCATGCACTCCACTAAGAGTGGCAGAGCACTGTGGAAGGAGCACTGGGCAGGGATCCAGAGACCTCTAGCATGATACTAAGACATAGACTAAGAAATCTATGTCTAGTCTTCATGTCTGATTCCCTGGCTCTTAAAGCCCTTGTAATGTCCTGAGTAACCGGGATTAGAGAACGGTCTGCTTCCTGGTCATATGTGAATTTACAATAATGAGGGCCTCTTAGAGAATGGGGACTGACTGCCATGGGACCCACCCACATTGATTAGAGGGGTGGAACTTCTGGTGAGGTCTACTGAGTGCAGGAGGAGGTAGAGTTAGTCACCCATGCCATGATTTAGCCAACAGTGTCCACAGGATGGAGACTCATTTATCCCAAGAGGTCGGGGCTCTAAAAATGGCAATGGTCAAAAAAAACCCCAATGTGGTGGTGGAAGGTGGTGGGCCCTAAACTCTAAGAGGGCATAAGCTCCTGTGCTGGGAATCTTCCAGACTTCACCCTGGGCACCTCTTCATGTGGCTCACCTACATCCTTTGCAGGCTGGAAAGATGGCAGTTAAGAACACTGAGTGCTTTTGGGGGGGACCCAGGTTCGATTTCCAGCACACACATGGCAGCTAACACCCGCCTGTAACTCCAGTTCTAGGGGATCTGACACCTTTTTCTAACCTCCATGGGCATTACATGACATGGGTACACTTACATACATGCAGGCAATACATTCCTACACATCAAAATAATAATAAAGTATTTTTTTTAGGAGGACAAAGGCATTCCCAGACAGGAATCCACCACCAGATGACTCGTTTAACCTCAAAGGGAGACTGTAAGAGACAAAGAAAGGTCTACAATAAAACTAGAGCACAAGCTACAAAAAACTGGAGTTAAGACCTTACCTACCACCAATCATCTTACACATAAGTGAGCCAAATTCTCTAATTAAAAGTCATGGTGATGGCTTAGTGAGATGGCTCAGTGGTGAAGAGCAGTGGCTGCTCTTGCAGAGGACCTGGGTTTGATTCCCGGCACCCACATGGCCGCTAACAACTGTCTGTAACTCCAGTTCCAGGGAATCTGACGCCCTCTTCTGACCTCTGTGAGCACTGTATGATAGAAGTGCACTTGCGTGCAGGCGACACACTCATACACATAAAATAAAAATAATAAATAAAACTTTTTAAGTTATAGTGACTGAATGAACTTAAAAAACAAGACCCACCAGGTGTGGTGGTGCACACCTTTAATCCCAGTACTTGGGAGGCAGCGGAAGATGGATCTCTGAAGGATCGAGGACAGCCTGATGTACATAGCAAGTTCCAGCTAGTTGGGGCTACAAGGAGACCTCGTCTCAAACAACAACAACAACACCACAAATAAACAAAAAACCAAGACCCTGGGCTGGCAAGGTAGCTCCGTGGGTAAAGTCACTTGCTACCAAGTCTGACAACCTGAGTTTGCTCCCCAGGATTCACATGGTGGAAATACATTGCTTTACATGAAACTCACTTGACCTCTAGGAATACACTTAGACTTTTCAGAAAGGATGTTTCAATATGCAGATGGAGTCTCAAAGACTCAGGAATAGCTTACTCACAGCAGGTAAAATAGACTTTAAACTAAACCAGTAAAAAGAGAAAAGGAAAGTAATTATGTAGATGCTAAAGGGGTTGAATCAGGAAGAAATAACAGTTACAAATACATAAGCAAACACTGTCACACCACCAAACATTAACAGACATAAAAGGAGAGAAAGACTCCAATGCACTGACAGTTGGGAACTGTGACGGCACAGCTATGTAGTAGACAGATAATCCAGAAAAAGCGCACACATGTGCACACACACACACACACACACACACACACACACGCACGCACAAACTGATGAGGATGTGGAGAAGAAACAAGCCTTGCACGTGGGAAGGTTGTGATAGGAATACTCCAGTACAAAGAAAAAGGGAACTCAGCGTGCTCTGTGCCTGAGCGTATGTACACAGCTCTGTCTATCGTGACCTTCTAGCACGTAGCACCCAACCAGGATATGTGTGTTACCATATACGAAGACAAAGAACCTGAACTGTGAAGGGGGACCGACAGAGGGTCTTCCTCTGTTCAAGGCTCTGCTTTGGAGAACTAACTCACAGAGCCAGGTGCTAACACAAATAAACAGAGGAAAGAAATGCCTCGGTGTTTCATCTTTTTACACAGAGCACCTGAAACAAGGTTAAGTTAGTACATTTACAACTGACAGGAAAAGGGGACAATCTACGGGTCCATTGACTGATGGATTGGTAAAGAAATGCAATACATATACATCATGGAATATTATTTGGTCATGAAAAAGAATGCAATCCCCTCTTTTTCAATAGCAGAGATGGAACCAGGATGCTGAGTGGATGAAACCAGGCACAGAAAGATGAGCATTGCATGCTATCGCTCTTGTGAATCTGAGTTGATCTCACAGAAGTTGATAATGAGGATGGTGACTAGAGGCTGGGACTACAGAGTGAGTGGGAAGGAGAGTTGGGGGTACACGATCAGCGGGTACTGAATTACAAACAGAAGCAGGAAGTTCTAGTCTTGCACCATGGGATAACTATGGGTAACAATCACATACTTTAACACCTAGGAGAAAATATTTTGACTGTTTTCATCACAAAAAAAAGTCAGATGTTTGAAGAGAGATGATTGGCCTGTACCACACTGTGTGGAACTCTGACATGGTTCCTCATTAACGCCTGTTTTGGCCCTGCCACTAGGGGGCAGTGGCCTCTGACAATTCATTGCCCCTCCTGAGCCTCAATTTCTCCATCTATGAAGTGGAGGGCATTAGATTTTGGTGATCTTGAGCCGTGGTAGGAAGTGTAGCCACTGGAGATAAAAACCACAGCATTCCGGTGCCTCAGTTTCCTCCCTGGAACAGAATGACTTCTTGGCTCCCAGGGCTCCCATAAGGACTCTGGGTTCACACCTTCTCCTACCCCCCCCTGTGAGCCGTTCCTATGAACACTCTGAAGATAAAGGATCTAAAGTCTCCACCTTCCTCTGGAAAGAGGGACCCACTCACCAGAGGCCCGTGCACCCCCGAAGGGCTGCTGGCCCACCACTGAGCCAGTAGACTTGTCATTGATATAGAAGTTGCCAGCAGCGTTCCTCAGCTTCTCCGTGGCTTCCTTGACAATTTCCCTAGAGAGCAAGACAGTGACCAGATGCCCCCAGCCTCAGGTCTGGCCTCCAACACCCTGTATAGCTCATAGTGGCCACACCGAGGACAGGTGACACTGGCCAGCTGCCAGAAGGCCCTGGATAGGTTAGTCTCTATTTCCTCTCTAAGGGGCTCATCCCACCTCCCCCATTAGGCCACTGGGTGGATGGAGGGTCAGGCCACAGCTGTGGGAGTGGCCCATCCTGGTTCAGCTTAGCCATCTCACTGGAGATGGGGGAACACTCAGACGCCATGCTTACTCCTGGGTTCTAATTCCACCTGTACTCTCTGAGACAAACACGGGCAGCCTCAGGGTCAAGGAGGAAGGAAAATACAAAGCCTCAAGGTTAGCATGGTGGGACCCGGATTAGACCTGCCTCTACTGCAGTGGAATCTCTGCCCCTACATTCTGCTCTGCAGCACGAGATGGGGACAGTGACCTTGCTCAGTGGGGTCCTAACGGGTCTACGAGAGCCAGACACAAGCTCCCCACCCAGGCTTGGTGTCTAGATTCAGACACAATGGTTACAGGTAGGGAGGGCGCTGTATCTGTGTCTCTTATCAATCAGCCGGGCCGCCTGTCTGCACCTTTGTCCAAGCCGAGGATTAAGAGGGCACAGAGAGGGAAAGCAGAGATGCATTATCAGTACCCACATCTGCATCTAGGAGGCAGGGATGGGGCTGACAGAACAACACACCAGCATCGCTGGGGCCTAGGCACTCACGTATCCTGAGCGAACACTGCCCCCGTGAGGCCATAGATGGTAGTGCTGTCGACCAGCTGCAGAGTCTCCCTGTACTTGTCATCAGGGTACACGTACAGGGCCAGCACAGGCCCAAAGATTTCCTAGGGGAAAGAGCTGGGGTTAGCCCCTTCAGCATCACCATCTGGCCTTCCTCTCCACTGTCCCAGACATCAGTCCATATGGAAGCCCTGGGTAGGGGCAAGGGCAGGAGCTGGGGCTAATTCTTCCAGGATCCCTCTTGATTCTGTACACCTGGCTTCCTGACCATTCAGCAGAAGATCCAGAATGTTCTGGCCTCCCTGTCATGCCTGGAAAGCAAAGGGGCCAGGCCCAAAGGAGCAGGGAGCTCACTGGGTACCCCACCTCTTCCTGGCTCCTCGGTCACCAAGAGGCTGGGCTCTCCCTAGACCCCCACTCACTGCCACCCTGTCTCAAGCAGCCCCAGCCATGGTCAGCCCACGGGGAGCCCAAAGCTGCCACAATCCCACAGTGGCTGTGGCAGTGCTTAGGAATGAGCCCTGCTCTCCAACTGTAAGCCGTTCCTGCTGGGCCTCCCCTCCTCATCCATGAAATGATGGGAACAAAGCAACGTGGGGGCTTTGCCCAGGGAGACGCCCGCCTTGGTCACCTCCTTCATGATGGGGTCCTGTGGGTCCTTGCTCTCGATGATGCAGGGATCCACGTAGTAACCCACAGACTCGTCACACTTACCCCCAGCCAGGATGCTGAGGCTGGGGGAGGTGCGTGCATGCTCCAGCCACTTTTTGATGCGCGCAAAGGACTGGGACAGGTAAGGAGGAGAATGTCAGACTGGCAGCATCCCATGTGCACCCCAAAACACCTCTGCCTGAAGGACCCAAGTTCTAGAACAAGAGTCAGGGACGGAGCACTGAAGGTGAGGTAGGAGCAGGGCCTGGCTGAGCCATGCCAGGGACATGGGGAGAGGCACATGTTCATGTGTGTGTATGAGATAAACATTTGGAGAAGTACATACATAGCCATTTAAGTACATGGGCAACTATATGTGTGCATGCGGGTATGGAGATGTGTGTTTCCATGGTTGGTCTACACAACAGCTCCAAAACCATGCTCTTGTGTGCACACATGTATACCCATGTGTGGACCTGCCTGTATGTGTGTGTACCTGAGTGTGTGCATGCACAGGTGCCCTTTGTGGACTTACTGGGCTTAGCGCCAAGATATGCAGACAAGAGTTTTCCTGGCCATGGTCGATACTACCCTTTAAGCTGGGAAGGTATGTGTCTGGTTATAAGCCACCCTGTTCAGAGCAGGAGAGCTGGCACACCCCCAGGTCATAGCCCCCTGCCCTTCTCCCTACCCAGCCCCCGCAGAATGCCCTACATCCTGCCCCCGTACCTTGGAATCAATCACTGCGGAGAAAAAGGTGCCAAAGTCCTCTGCAGGCTGGGGACAAGGGAGAGAGAGCCAGGGGCAGATGAATGGCTGCAGGCCAGAGATAAAGGGAGCCCCTTCCGGGCAGCCCCATCTGACTTGCACAGAGCCCCCAGGGATGGACCCTGCCTCAGAGAGCCAGAGAGAGACCCTGCGGGGAGGGACGGGGTGCTCAAAGAGCTGAAGAGAGCGGCAGCCCAATCCCATCAGCCTCCCACTGGGCGCAGTGTGGGTTCCACTCACGTTGCCCACTTTGATCCTGCTGTGTTCCTCCAGCAGCCGCCCTTTGATCTGTGGCCACAGTGATTGTGGCACGTAGAGGCGTGAGCAGGCTGAGCACTTCTGACCACCATATTCGAAGGCTGAGCGCAGGGTCCCGCTCACCACACTGTCCACGTCAGCCGAGCGGTGCACAAAATGGAAGTTCTTCCCACCGCACTCTACGAGCATGGGGTGGGGACATGAATGAGGGAACGCCGGCTGCTCTGCAGATCAAACCACCGCTCACAGCAGTTCACACGCACACAGATGACAGAAGGCAGAGTTGGAGCAGATGCTATCCCAGAGAGCCACCGGTCAGGCCTGCTGCACTCCTCAGAAGAGGAAGCCAAGGCTGGGAAGGGGACAGGCCAGCAGAGGACACCAGTTCCAACTTCTCATCATGAGAGGGAGGGAGGAGAGGAAGCCAAGTGCCCAAGAGCCCGCCCATCCCCAGAAATAGGTAAGGTTGTCCTGCGACTGCCTTATTTCCTTAGAGAAGACCTTCACACAGGTCACGGCACCCTCCAGCCTCAGTTTCCCTACTTAGAAACACTAGCTAACAGCAGCCAAAAACACACGTTTCGTTCCCTGCTGGATGTTGGAGGAAGATGAGAAACTGAGGCAGAGAGATGAGGCCACTGGCTTTAGGGTGGGTCAGTAAACAGAGGCTTCTCTGTTCAAATGAGGCTCTGAGAGGGAACAGCTATACCCTGCAGGGTCCACTGTCCATCTCATAAAGATGGGGACCTGCAACGTGAGGACTGGAAGTTGGAATGCCACAGCCAACCCCAACACCCCATCAGTGCTCTGCCAGCTCAGGAAAAGGGTACAGACTCCCCATGGGCCCCACTTCACACCAGGGGCTAGAAAGTTGAACCACTAGCCTGTTTCTACCATCACTGAACCCTGGGCAGAAGTTTTCTCCAAGCCTTGGTGCCTTCCCCAAACATTCTATGGAACTCTTGGTCCATGGGCACTTTGCAAAGTGGGGTTCTGGGGCCCAAGGAACTGGGCAAACATTTTTTGATCATGCCCTTGACGTATATAAACCAATGTCAAGGACAGTGGGCCCAGCAGCCCTCTGGGCCTCCCCACCCACCCCTGTTCCTTCCTGGCAGTGGCCTCTGCCCTCCCACCACAGCAGCAACCATCCTGCTACTGACATTTAATGCAAGCCTGAAGAACACAGAGCATCCAGTCCTGAGGTCACACAGCCACAGTTAAGTATGCTGCGGCCATGTGTGGCTCCGAAAGAGGCCTCTGCCACTGCAGACAGAGAAGGCTCCAATACTGGCTCCTAGCACCCCAAGATCTGCTAGGGGGTACCAGCCTGAGTGGGATCACCCCACTCTACCTCCTGTTCTCTCATGATGGCCCCGGAAGGGATCCCTGGAGCCTTAGCAGGCCAGGGTGGGGGGGGGTGCTTACCTCCAGCCAGGCGTGGGAAGGTGCGGTACTGATCCAGATTCTGGGCGACCTGTTTCCACAGGTGTTTGAAGGTGCTGGAACCAGAGAAGAGCCTAGGATCAGGGAGCTGGGCTAGGAAGAGGCTAAAAGGCTTGGAGGGGGGTAGGTAGTGCCAGGAGGAGGTGGCCAGGGGCCAGAGTGGCAGGAGGATCTAAGTGTGTGGTGACAGCTGGAAGCAAGGTGGCACAGAGAAGGTCCAGCTATGAAATCGGAAGATGCTGGTCCTAGTCCTGACGTCATGCTGTGTGATCTTGGGCTCATGACTTAACCTCTCTGAGCCTCGAACTCTGTACCTCACCCAGTAACAAGAATGAGCCCTGCATGTGCAGAGACTTGAATGTGAGTCACGAGCTTAGGGTCATACTGGGCACACTGCAGTGCCCGATGAGAAACACACACACACCCCACACCCCCATGGCTATGAGGGGCATCCTAGCCTAGTGCCTGGCTTGAGAGGTCAAACCCAGACAGAACTCAGGCCCTGCCACCTCCCCAGGCTCCACTGTGACCAACCTGAACACACAAAACAATAAAAATGCTAATCACCCCAGGCACAGCAGCTAACGCTAATTTATGACTTTCCTACCTTCGCCCAAGGTTTGCCGGAGCATGGCAAACTGAGCCAGGCTCGCTCTGCCGCTAACAGGTGGAGACTCAGAGGCAGAGCAGAGCGGGCTTCTGGGGAAATGGCATCCTCAGCACTCCCAATGCCACCACCTTCACCTGGCAACCCAGGTGGGGAAGGTACAAAGAAGCCATTGCAAGTGTCCCAGGGTAGGCCCTGGAGCTGCACAATGGGGCACTGGGCTATCCTGGTCACCTCCGTCCAGGTCCCCAAAGCCTCCTCAGACAGTGACACATACGTGATTCATCTTCTGCCAGGCCTGCATACCCTGGTGGCCAATGTCTTTTCCGAGGCCTGGACCTCTCAGACCTGGACCACAATCCGGTGGGTCACCCCTAGTCACGGTGTCTCTGGCTGTGCTCTCAGGATCTGGCCCTGCTCTGGATTCTGCTGGCCCTGCCCGAGTCTGTGCTCATTACCCCAATGCCCTGGGAACCAACAACCTCCTGAAGAGGCTCCTGCCTTCTGGAGCAGCCCCAGCCATTTTCCAGGACACAGAACAAACCACAGTGGGCGTCAGACCCGGGATACAGAGACCCAGGGCCTAGGATGAGACAGGAGATGGGGGAGACCTGGAAAGCACTGAACTCTCCCAGCCAGTGGCACCGTGAAACATGCAGGCCCAGGTGACCAGAGCATGTACCTCACGGATGTTTAAATAAAACTGTCCCAATCAGACAAGGCTGGACCATGGCTATAGGAGTCAAAGAAAAAAGAACCACTTGTCACCGAGCGTGTAACCCCAGTCTAAAACAGAACACGATTTCACGACCCCCCTGCCTAGAACTTTGTGTGTCTCCGCCACCTTCAGAACACAGCTTAGACACCTCTTCAGGTTCCAAAGGCTCTCGGTCACTGGACTAAATCCGAGAGGTAGACAGAGATGTGGGGTAGGGGCTGCCGAGCTGTGAACCTTGACCTTCACTGATCACTTATTTCCAGCCTCAGCACAGAGTTGCCCGCTGCAAGGGTCAGAAAACACCTGTTGAGTCAGCGAGTGGGTGACTGGCACAGAGGAGGCCTTCAGGAGGTGACCCAGGCCACTGACTCAACTCTATCCTCCAGGTATAGGGGACTACACCCCTTGGCGCATACCACGAGCTGAGCCTCCAGGCCCCCCTTGGTTTCCCTTCCCCTTCCTACAGCTGTTCCCCTTCCTCGCCTCTGCTGGGCCAATCTTCCACCTGGGCGCCACCTTCTCTAGGAAAAGGCCCAACATTTCCTCTCCTTCCAGTTCATCCATGAAGGTCATCAAGACGGCCTGACAACCACCACTGTCCTTCCAGCCCGCACAGCTCTCTCCTTGTTCTGTCCTTACAAACACTAAGTCAGAGGCCACCACCCTTCATTTTGACAGATGAAGAAACAAGGCTTAGAGAGGCATGGTGGCTCACCTATGGTCACACAGTGAGGAAGCGGAAGGGTCAGCATGTGACATCTGGGTTCACAGCACCAACCCTAGACAGGCAGCACGGAGGTGGCGGCTACTTGGGAACTTCTGCACCCCATGCCCTGCTCCACCGCCCAGAGACTTACGGCACACTGCCTGTGAAGTTGATGCCACAGAGGTGCTCTGAGCCGGTGACCGTGTCCCCAAAAATGGGTCCATCAGCTGGCACAAACTGGATGATGTTGGGGGGCAGGCCAGCCTCCCGGAGGATGCGGTAAACAGCATAGCTGGCCAGCATGGCAGTGTCGCTGGGCTTCCACAGGACCACGTTGCCCTGCCATGAAGGTGTGATTGATGACTGTACCCCACTGCACCCAACAATATGGCCACTCTCACCTGGAGCCACCAGGCCCCATGATACAGGATATGCCCTACCTGAGCCCACTCCTGCAAGTGTCTGCACTGTGTACCAGAAGCCCTTACCACTAAGTTCCCAGCCTTTGCCTATGACTCTGGTCTGGGCGTCTTTTCCCAGCAAGCCTGCGCCAACTGGTCCTGCCCTCACCTCAGTGTTTCTTGGCTGCTCCTGGGTGTGGCTGTGCAAGTGCTCATGGGCTCTCTGCTCATGTCCTGGATCAACACCCATCGACTGATGCACGAGATCGTCCCCCCACATGGGATGCACAGGACACACATGGGGTATACAGGCACCAGTCCACTGCCCTGCCTGTGACCCAGGCCACTGATCCAATGCCAGCCCTCCTCCTGCCCAGACTTCTGAGGACTGGTTTTCATCCCCACGTTAGACTGGGAGCTCACCCAGGGATGGCAGCCATTATTCAACAATGGCAGCAGAGCCCTTCAACTTCCAGAGCAATGGGTCTGGAATAAACTGCAGGCAAATCCCCACTTGTCCCATTGGTTACTAGTCAGACAGCCTTGACAAATGAGTCACCACTGTATGACTCAGGTGTCAACTGGCAAAGAGGCATGGGACAGTCGCTTTTCTCGTTGCCTTTTGACATCATTAGCACACGGTGTCCATGGCAGCTGCATGTATGGGGACTCCAGGTCATACCACCATGAGCAGCCGTCAGACCCACAGCTTGCACCCACTCGGCTGGACCTGTCTGGTGTCTGGTGGTTTCACTCAGTCTTCATCACCTGATGGCCCAGGTCTCCCCACTGCTCCCGCTTGGCAGAGGAGGAAACTGCCTCCGAATTCGGGGGCTGCCCAAGTCTCCCAGAGAGAGACAAGGCCAGGATCCAAACCAGGGGTTGAACTCAGAGTTTATCCACAGCTGCACCATCTGTACTTCTGCTGTGACTGAGGGCGGGTGCTCTGTGTCTGTTGGGACCTGAGGTGCCGACTACCCCCCCCCCATACACAACAACTCCGTACCATTAATGCCGGTGCGCCTGCCAGGTTGCCTCCGATTGCAGTAAAGTTGAAGGGCGAGATGGCTGCCACGAAGCCCTGGGGAAGAGGGAGGTAATGAAGCCCCAGTAGAGGCTCCCAGCATCCTCTATGGCCCATCGTCTGCCCTGCAGTACCTCCAGTCCGCGGTACACCACACGGTTGGTGCTGGGCGGCACGCTGATGGGCTGCTCACCGTTCAGCTCCACGGCGAACTTAGCATTGAACCGGAAGAAGTCAATCAGCTCAGCCGCAGCATCAATCTCCGCTTGGATCACTGTCTTTCCCTGAGAGGAGGGTGGCCCGGGTTCAATAGTGGCAGACAAGCCTGAGCTGGTACCCAGCAGGGACCAAAACCCTGCGAATGACTAACCAAGCCTGGTCCCAGGGTTGAAGAGAGAAAGGACCTGATTCTCAGGCATCTGAATGTTTTCCCTCGGAGATCTGAACACCCTGTGGACCAAGAGGAGCATCCACTGACCGTCTACAGTGTCACAGCAACAGTGACAGAACGTACATGGAAAGGGATCAGTGATTATAACCCTCAGACCAAACTCATAACCAGAAGCCTCCAAAGGGGCACATGAGCAAGAGGAGCCAGTCTGGGAAAGCAGGACAGAGCCATGCTGCTTGGGACTCAGCCAGCTCCTCAGGATGAGCACATGGCCTCGCTGGGTAGTTTGAGCCAAGAACCAGGCCAGTGACTGTGGTCCCCCTCAAGTGCCCATTCTTGGTATCAAGTGACAGCTATGGGGAAAGGGCTCCAAGCAGCAAGAAGGGGGCTTCCGCCTTAGAAACGGGGAGGAGAGGAGGCTGACATGTGTGCTGCGTTGCCTAGAAGCCCCTGAATCTCAAGCCAAGTAAAAAGGGACCCTAGGGTGAGCGCCGGCACACCTTCCTGACAATGTCACACTCAACACTGAGAGGGAAGTGGGAGCTGTCATACCATCTCCATGCAGCAGAGGGAGCTCTCACCATGGAGACAGATAAGCAGGTGGCAGAACACGTCCTGACTCAATAATAATAAGCGGCCTGGGTTTTGGTTTGTAAATTTTTTTTTTTTTTTTTTTTGGTTTTTTTGAGACAGGATTCCCTGTAGCCCCAGATGGCCTGGAACTGGCTGACCTCCATCTCACAGGGATCTGCCTGCCTCTCTCTGCCTCCTAAGTGCTAGGATTAAAGGTGTGTGCCACCACGCCTCGCTTTGGTTTGTTTTTTTGTGTGTGTGTGGTCTTTTTTTTGAGACAGGGTCTCCTTGTAACCCCAGCTGTCCTGGAACTCACTATGTAGACCAGGCTGGCCTCAAATTCCCTCGAAATCACAGAGATCCACCTGCCTCTGCCTCCCAAGTGCTGGGATTAAAGACAAGTGTCACCACGCCTGGCCCTATTCTTTTTTTTTTTTTTTTTTTTGAAACAGGGTTCCCCTTTAGCCCCACCTAGCCTGGAACTCACTATGTAGACCAGGCTGGCCTTGAACTCACAGAGATCCGCCTGCCTCTGCCTCTCGAGTGCTGGAACTACAGGCGTGCACCACCATGCCCGGCTATATCTTATTTATTATATTGACTTTACATGTATGAGTGTATTGCCTGCATGTGTGCAAGTGTACCCATGTTGTGTAATGCCCATGGAGATCAGAAGAGGGTGTCAGATCCCCTGGAGCTGGAGTTATGGACGGTTGTTAGCTGCCATGTGGGTGCTGGGATTTGAACCCAGGTCCTCTGCAAGAGCAACCAGTGCTCTTAACCACTAAGCATCTCTCCGGCCCCCTGGTTTGTTAATTCTTAAGAACTCAGGCAAGCCTGTTCCTTAGGCAGAACTCCTGGAAGGGACCAAATGGAGCCTTTCTCCCTGGCTCCTCCCTTGGCAGTTACTGACTGCTCACTCACCGCACAAGCCAGTCACTCAACATCCATTTGTGCCTCCTATGATAAGACAAAGACACAGTTCCCATGCACAAGAAATGCATAGCGCTCAATACCCTGTTGTAACCTGAGCCCTAACTGTAACTGAAAAACTCCAGAACAGACCAGAACAGCCCTTTGCTCAGACATGAGCTAAACAGCTTCAGGTGCCAGCTGCTGCTGTGGAGGCCTGGAGGTGTCCGTCCCTGTCCAGGAAGCCCCACAGAGTAGGGCAGAGGAGGGTTAGAGTCCATTCCAGGCAGGGCACATTAGGCAGAGTCAGAGGATGACTGTGATGCCCAGAGATTCCTGCTGTGTTCAAACTCAGGAACAGCTGGGCAGGGAAGAGTGGCTGGGAAACTAGAGAGTGGGCAGAGACCTCAGGCACAAGGTAAGGACCTGGGATGCCTCAGTGACATCCCTGAGTAAGGAGTAATTTAGTGGTTGTGCTGGATAGCTTTAGTGTCAACTTGACACACCTGGGTTGAGGGAACCTCAATTGGGGAATTGTCTCTATTGGACTGGCCTGTGGCCATGTCTGTGGGGCATCTTCTTGATTATTGAGTGATGTGGGAGGGCTCAGCCCACTGTGGGTGGTGCCACCCCTGGGCAGGTGGGCCTGTGTTGCATAAGAAAGCAGGCTGAGCAGGGGCCAGGGGAGCAATCCAGTAAGCAGTGTTTCTCCATGGCCTGTGCTCCAGCTTCTACCTCCAGGTTCCTGCCCTGAGTTCCTACCTTGGGCTCCCTAATGAACTATGACTCAGGAAATGTAAGCCAAATAAGCCCTTTCCTCCCCAAGTTGGTATTGGTCAGAGTGTTTTGTCACAGCAATGAAGAAAGGAACTAGAACAGAAATTGGTACCAGAAGTGGGGTATTGCTGTGACAGACCTGACCTTGATGTTTTTGGGAGGACTGTGGAAGTGTTTTGAACTTTGGGCTGGAAAAGCCATTGTGTGCTCAGAGTTTGTTGCTGTGGAGCTTGGAACAGTTATGCTGAAAGAGTTGTGGACAATGGAGGCTGGGCTTGGGAAGCTTCAAAGGGAAGCGGAGACTATCAGGGCTGTTTGTGTGATATTTTGAAATGAGAATCTGTGGGTTCTGGTGGCCTGTGAGCCACACATGTTCCTATGAATACAGACCAAAATATTCATAGATGACAATGTCATACATTATTACAGTGTGAAAAAGCTGGACATCCTTGGGGCTACACAGATGGCTCAGAGGTTGGGAGTACTGGCTGCTCCCGCAGAGGACCCAGGTTCAGTTCCCAGCACCCACATGGCAGTTAACAGCCGTCCATAACTCCAGTTCCAGGGGATCTGATGCCCTCTTCTGACTTCCTACAGCACTGCATGACATGGGTGCACTTACATCCATGCAGGCAGTATACACATACATATAAAATAAAAATAATACGAATTTTTTTTTTTTTAAAGCTGGACACCTGGGCCGGGTGTGGTGGTGCACGCCTTTAATCCCAGCACTTGGGAGGCACAGGCAGGCGGATCTTTGTGAGGTCGAGGCCAGCCTGATCTACGTAGTAAGTTCCAGGACAGCTGGGGCTACAAGGAGATCCTGTCTCAAAAAAGACCAAAACAAAAACAAAAACCAAACAAAGCAAAACAAAAGCTGGACACAGTTGGTCTGCCCTGCCAGTCCTGGAATGACAAAGACTTAGCCCAAGGTAGGAAGACAGGATGAAGGGGAGGAGATGGAACTCTGGCAGTATGCACGGACTTAGCACAATCTGCCTTGTCTGGAAACCTACGCTATGCCCTGCCTCCTGGGTCTTGATCCTGGGGATACCCCCAGTCTCCAGCAGTGTCTGGCACCTGAAGCTGTTTAGCTCTTGTCTGGCAATGGAGAAGGAGTCATGATGGCCTCCACCCCACCCAACTGGGCCTGTCCCGCCTCACCTGTCCCACCATGGTCTTGGCAAGGACTTCTGCCCTCCGTGGCCCGCTCAGCATATCAGCTGCCTTCAGGAAGATCTGTGCCCGGTCTGCCACAGGCTTCAGATCCCATTCTTTCCTAGCGGCCAAAGCAGCCTCAATGGCTTTGTTGATCAAAGCCTAGAGAGAGAGAGAAAGAGAGAGAGAGAGAGAGAGAGAGAGAGAGAGAGAGAGAGAGAGAGAGAGAGAGAGAGAGAGAGAGGCAAAGGTCTATGCTGCCTTCCATAGGAGGAAGGGACCCAGGAGAGGGAGGCAGCAGAGGAGGGGGAACTGGAAGGCCACTTCACTGACCACCAGGGGAAGACTCCCAGCCCTGTCCCCACAGCCACAGACTATCCATTGCTAGCTGCCAGCTCCATGCGATCACCTTTTCTTGCTATCATTCTGAGGTCTGAAGTTCACCAGGTTGGCCAGCACACCCAGAATATGACACAAGTCTCCCAGTTGCTACACCTCTCTACTTTCTCCCATGGTCTAAGCAAGGCATCATTGTATGTTGGGACCTGTGGGCACTGAATCCACCATCCTGGGGCTCCAGCTTCAGGAGGTACACATCTGCTGCAGATATCCCAGACCCCATCCACCCTCACCACCATGTGCCACCCCCCACCCCCATTGGTCCTCCATTATGCCAATCCCTGCCTGGCTTTCCATCTAAGTTTCCAACTGCCCTGACATTGTGTACTAGATAGCTTTAGTGTCAACTTGACACACGTGGGTTGAGGGAGCCTCAATTGGGGAATTGCCTCCATTGGACTGGCCTGTGGCCATGTCTGTGGGGCATCTTCTTGATTACTGAGTGATGTGGGAGGGCCCAGCCGACTGTGGGTGGTGGCACCCCTGGGCAAGTGGGCCCATGTTGCATAAGAAAGCAAGCTGAGCAGGGGCCAGGGGAGCAAGCCAGTAAGCAGTGTTCCTCCATGGCCTGTGCTTCAGCTCCTGCCTCCAGGTTCCTGCCCTGAGTTCCTACTTTGGGTTCCCTGATGAAATATGACCCAAGAGATATAAGACAAATAAAGCCTTTCCTCCCCAGGTAGGTAGTTGTCAGAGTTGTCACAGCAATGGAGAAACAAACTAGAACATTCAACCATACAGAATCAACCTCCTCCCCAAACTGCGGTCTACCTGCCACAGTGGGGCATGTCTGGTGCTGCCCGAGGCCTGGCCAACACAGCTAGAGTTTGACTCAAGTTAACTTGTGCATGCCTGGCCCTATTGCAGACTTGGCCCAAAGACAACCCACCCTCCCCGCCATGGTCAGAGACAGAGGCAGTAATTGAGGTGTACCCACAACTGGGAGGGCAGCTGTTACCGGGGGGCTCACCTTGTCTGCGTAACAGAACTTGGCCACCTTGTGTCCATGGTTAAAGGGCTGAAAGAAGGAAGGGAGGTCACAGTTCATGAGTAAGGTCAAGACTGGAGATGATTTGGTCTTTTGGGGAAAGCGTGTCCTCTGTGGTGACACATGCATGAATCCCAGTTCTACCACCTACTAGTTCTGAGTCTGTAACAATTCCCCCTCCTCCCCAGTTCTCCATGCCTCAAAAACTCCCACCTCGGTAGCAGGTCCTCCCCATGGGCCAGTGAGATGGCTCAGTGGGTAAAGGTGTTTGCTGTTCAAGCCTGGTGACCTGAGTTCAATTCCTAGAACCCACATAAAGGTGGAGGAGAGAATCAACTCTACAAAGTGTCCTGACTTCTACAGGTGCACTGTGCTATGTATGCACACGCGCACGCGCGCGCACGCACACACACACACACACACACAAATAAACTTTAATAAAAAAGAAAGCTTGTGGGGGCTGAAGAGATGACTCAGAGGTGAGGAGCATTGGCTGCTCTTGCAGAGGACCTGAGTTTGGTTCCCAGCACCCACCTGGCAGCTAACAACCATCCATAACTCCAGTCCCAGGGGATCTGATGCCCCCTTCTGGCTTCTACAGGCATTGCATTCACATGCACATTATTAGACATGTAGACAAACACTCATTAAATAAATTACTTAATTTTAAAAAGTTTAGGTCTAGAGAGATGGCTCAGTGGTTAAGAGCACTGACTACTCTTGCAGAGGACCCAGGTTTGGTTCCCAGTACCCATATGGTAGCTAACAACCTTAACCTTAACTCCAGGTCCCAGGGGATCCAACACCCTCTTCTGGCTTCCATGGACATTGCACACATGTGGTGCACTTCCATACATGCAAGCAAAACACTCATACACATAAATTCTTTTTTAACTTAAAAAAAATAAGTTCTGCCAGTCATGGTGGTGCACACCTTTAATCCCGGCACTTGGGAGGCAGAGGCAGGTGGATCTCCGTGAGTTCAAGGCCAGCCTGGTCTACATAGTGAGTTCCAGGCCAGCTGGGGCTACAGGAGACCCTGTCTCAAAAAGACCAAAAAAAAAAAAAGTTCTTCCAAACTGGATCCAGTACACAGTACTCCTGGGGTTCCATCTGGGTAGACTTATTTACAAAAGAACCAGTCCTTTATTCTCCCCTCAAATTGGGAGATCTGTGAGTTTCCAGGCCCCCATGAAGCATGTGCCAGCTCCTAGATGACTGAACTTGGAGCCCAGCTCTCTGCCCCCAGCTTGCGATTGCCCTGTGGGAAGAAGCCACTAGGATACTGGGAGATGGCACACCTCCCTCCTTCCTCCTTGCTGGGCACGGTGCCCTTTGCTTCTGGAAGTTTTAGGCATTTGTGGAATTCAAAATCTTGCAGGAGACAATGACTCTCAGGCAGAGAACACAGCTTCAGGCTTGTGAGCTTCCACAGGGAGGCCTGGGTGCAAGGAGAGGCTGAGCCCTACCCCTATGGGACATACCGACAGCTGGTACTGCACATCCGATGTCCACACCTCTTCATCTCCCACCACACATGGGATGGCTTCCGTCTGGCCCTTCAGGTCTCTCAGAGCCTGGGGAAAGGAACAGGAGTGTGGAAGGGAACTTCCCGTACCCCCTCCTTCCTTTCCTCTTGAATTCTGAGGTAGAGTCTGTTCACAGCTATCCAGGTAGGGGGGACAGGCTGGATCTGGGGTCACACAACAGCACGTGCTCCCCTGGGGGGAGCAGGTTTTGCCATAGCAAAGGTCACCCTACAGAAGGAGAAGGCCAGTGTTGACAGCCCTTCCCATCCCAAAAGCAATGACTACATCCAAAATGCATGTGAACTCTCACAATCTGTAAAACCTGTGCTAATGAATTGGATTTGATTTTGAATCGCATATGTTATACTAAATGTTTGACCTCTGAGCTGGTCTGAGAAGTGGCAAAGGTTCCAGCTACCACCTGTTGTCCCCGCTGTAGCACCTTCCAGTGCCCAGCCATCCCCAGGTACCAAGCTAACTCCCAAGGCTTGGGTGGGAACAGGTGATAGCCACAAGCAGGAAGCAATGTCTAGAGACTACCTTGGCCCCAGCCCTGCACCCGCTGGGAACCCCTCACCTGTTACCTTCTGCAGTGCATCTCGTTCAGGGCTGCCCTGTGTAAAGGCTAGGATGGGCTCATTGGCCACTTTCAAGGAGGAGACGTGCTTCCGCTGAAGCCTGGGTACAAGAAGAGAGGCAGACAGGTCAGCAGTTGCCACAGCAGCCCCTCTGTCTCCACAGGGGCCTTTACCCCACAGAGCCTGGCTGCTTTCTCTGCATTGAACAGGTGACCCCATAAGATCTGGTTCTCTCAGTGTGAGCCTGGGATTCCCTCAGCAGAAAGCCGAGCACTCAGATGGGTAAGGATGACAAATGTGGACACTGAACTTGGAGGACTAGAGCCTGGGCACTATGTACAGCGACAGGCAAGGCTGGTTTGGGGGATTCGGTGTCCATTTGCCAGATTCCTACAACCTCACTGACTAGTGATCTCTACTTCCTTCCCTGTCTAGAGGTGAGAGGTGGGAGGATGGGGGATCCAAGCTGGGAATCTGGAGTCGAGTCATTCCAGAGCTAAGGGCTCTGCCACTTCCCAATTACAAGCCATCCCCTAGAGCCTCAGTTTCCTCTGTAAATGAAGACAGTCCATGGGGCACCTTAATGTTGAAAGTTGCCACAGAACACAGACCCCAGGACAGGTCACACAAGCTGCCCTTAACAGGAACAATTCATCTGGACTTTTAAGGAAAATGACTTGAGTCCAAGCTCAGGAGAGAACTGAACTTGAGTCAAGATACCATCCCTCTTTGGAGGGGACCCACATGCTTGGTTAGGGCTCTAGGTGGGTGATTGGGAGAATGGTCCAGAAAGCTAGGGTGTGCTCTGGGCTGCATGTTGTTGGGAAATGGGGTGATGTTACAGTTAGGCAGAAAGCCCCCCTCCATTTAGCCTGAGAGCACTGCTACTCCGTGGGTGGCGTGGTGGCCTGGTCTTTGCTTAAGAGACCTCTGCTTCACTGTATCGGGGGTCTCGAGCAACACTGTCAGCTGCTGAGTTCAACAGGACAGAGTGGCCAGACTGAGGGAGTTTGGGGGGGTCACATTCTTTTTCCTTTTTTCCTGGGAAGAATGGTAGAGGCCCAGAGGCTCAGCCTGGGAGTCCTGGAGGGAAGAGAAAACAAACCCAGGACCGTGGGTGGGAGGCCTGAGGAATACCAACTGCCTCTGATACTCAAACACCCTAAAAGGCCACGTCACATTTCTTGGCCCCATTCTTGCCTGTTCAAGAGCGAAAGAGTAAGTGGGCCCCAACAGAGGGTGACTCAGACCCAGCCTGCTTCTCACTAGCTTTGTTACCCTGGGCGAGTCACCAGTCCCAGTGTAAAATGATGAGGCCCATCTCCTAGAGTTACCATTGGAGACTAGACAGCTAAAAACACCAAAAGCTAGGGAAAGCCACCCTGCCCTTCCTCCTACAGTCCTAGGAGGTAGCCAGAAGTCTCATAGAGCTGACAGGGGGAGGATAGAGTCTGCCCTGTGGTCATCAGAAGGTTCCTTCCCTGGACTTGCACAGAGTCCAGAAGGGCTCCGGGACTCACCCTCCAGGCCTCACACCACACCTGCCATCTTTGGAAGCAGACACTCCCATCTACTCAGGACCCACCCTACCAGCAGGGACCTCCTCCACTCCTCCACTCTAGGGCCTTTTTGCTCAGTTAAACAACAGAACTGAGACAGTACAGTGTGCCTTCAAGGTCACCTCCAGCTGAGCTCACACACTGGCTCTGGCCAGGTTTGCAAAGACTCAGGAATTCCTGGAACCCCTCCACCCCATCCCCCTATCATATTCAGGGCAGACCCAGATGCACCACTTGTGATAGAAAAAAAAATCAGCACTATACACCACCACCCACACCAGGCCCCCAAGTAGAGCCAAGAGCAGAAATCTGACAGATCTCCCTCCTCCTTCACTGGGGCAGAAGCCCACTGTGACCTCAGGCTCACAGGCCCTCCAGGCTTTCTCTGGGCCTGGAAAGCCTCCAGGTCCTGGAGAGACTAATTCAAAGATCAAGCTGAGCCTGTGTCAACTAATGCCAGAAATAACCCAAGAGTCCCCTCAGGCTTCTTTTTCTTTTTGCCTCATGGTGCGTTCTGACTTGACAGAGGCACTCTTCCACCAGCTTAGATGAAGACCGAGGTGGATCATTCACAAGACTCGGAGTGTCCAGGATGATCTCCAAGGGCCTTTTAGGCAAGACAGTCTTCCTCATTTATTCATTCATTTGTGGTTCACACATGCATTCATTCATGCAGTCAGCACATACCCCACAGCAATACAGGGCTCAACCCCCACCCACTGTTTGTTTATTCCCCCACACATTTCCGAGGCCAAGGAAGAGCCTGGTTCCAGGATAGAGATCTGGCCCAGCTTTCAGTGCTCCCACTGTGGGGAGAAGCATACAGTAAGGTCTGCATCCAACTAGGGTTTCCCTAGCAACTTGAAGCAACTACCTGGGGGCTCCACAGCCAGGGCCTGAACCAGTAAGCTGCCCTTCCCCACAGTCTACAGGCACTTGGGTTTGAATTTCAGAGATCATGCCTTTCCTTCCTGTGGTAGGAGACATGGGGGCTTCTGGGAGAAGCTTCTCCTTGGGTCAGTGAGTACAATCTGGGTACTCTATAGGGGAGGAAACTGGAAGGTAGAGGGCACAGGCTCCCAGCACTTCTCAGTCTCCACCCTGCCCAAGGTCCAAAGGGCCATCAGCTCTCACCTGAGAAAATGCAATGCCCACCGCAACTCCACTGTGTCCAGGTGGAGTAATCCTGCATCACCAGTATCTGGACCATTCTGAGAAATATACTGCTAAGCATGATCATTGTGAGAACATCATGGAGCATCCTTACAGAAATCCAGCCAAGGATAAGAGCATACACTGCTCTTACAGAGGAACTGAGTTTGGTTCCCAGCACCCACATCGAACAGCTCACTCCAGCTACAGGGAATCTGAATCCCTCTGGTTTCCTTGGGCATCTGCACTCATGAGCGCACATGCGTGTGCACACACACACACACCATTAAAAATAATAAAATAATAAAAATAAAAAACATCTGGACACACACCATTAAAAATAACAAAAAACATCTGGACATGGTGGTGCATGCCTTTAATTCTAGTAGAGGCATAGTGCTGGGATTAAAGGTGTGAGCCACCACGCCCCACTTATTTTATTATTTTTATTACATTTTTGGGTGTGTGTGCACATGTCGCACATGCATGTCCCACAGTGCACATGTGCAGGTCAGAGGACAACTTCTGAGAGTCAGTTTTCTCTTTCCACCATGTGGAGCCCAGGATGAACTCTGGTTAGCAGGCCTAACAGCAAGTGTCTTTAACACTTAACCTGCTGGCCCAAGACCTGTTTTGTTTTGTATTTTTGAGACAGGATCAAAAGGTTCAAGGTAGCCCCAGGTGACCTTGAACTCACTATGTAAACCAGGCTAGGCTTGAACTCACAGAGATTTGTCTGCCTCTGCCTCTGAATGCTGGGATTAGGGATTAAAGGTGTGTGCCACCACACCCAGCCCAAGACCTGTATTTTAACATGAAATCTTGATCAAGGGAGGAGACTTGACCCAAAACTCCTCAGTGGCTACTCATTTCTTCTGAAACGAAAATTCTGAATCAGGAGCCCTGAGGCTCCTTCCCTGTCACCACATCCCGAGGCAACCCAGCCCTTCGGTCTGTCCTCTCCACAGAGCCTCCCCCCTTGCCCCTCTCCCCCCAACCCCCACAGGTGCTCACAGCCTGAAGAGGCATCCTCTTCCATCATCTCAAAGCCAGGCATGGGTTTCAAGATGGAGCTCTGAGCATCTGGCTTGCACCAAGCAAGCTCCCCGTAGCAGCCTGTGTCCACTCTGTACCTTATACATGCTGTCCAGCCCATAAAAAGCAGCACCAGAGAGAAAGCTCAGATCAGAGAGCAGTGAGCATGTCCCTGTCAGAGCCAACACCCGGCCCCTAGGACTGGACTTCTAGCCCTGTGCTTTCCTGATAGATACCTGCAGCTAGATACCAGGTCAAAGGGAGGGAAAGTACTTCCTTCAGCCTCTGGTTTTCCAGCTGTTATCTGGGGCCTGATAAGGCAAATCCCCCTTATCACTGCAATTAGGTGTAATTACGGAGGCAATACAGGCAGGGAAGTGCAGTGGGGGGGGGGGCTGGAGAAGCCACTTTACCCTGCAGCTTTGGAAGCATTCACCATGCTGAGCACTGAGCTGAGCAACGTACCCACACCGTTCTAGTTTTATTTCTGTCGCTGTCATCAAATGTCCTGACAAAAAGCAACTTAGAGGAGGGATTATTTTGGCTCACAATTCCAGGCTACAGCCAGCACTGCAGGGAAGTTACAGAGGCAGGAGCTTGAGACAGCTGGTCACATCATAGGCACAATCGAGAGCGGAGAGAGAACGAGCACGCATGCCTGCTTGCTGGCTTGCGCTCACCTTGATTTCGCCATTCCTATACAGCTCAGGGCCCCTGCCTAGGGAATGGTACCACCCCAGTGGATTGTATCTTCCCACATCAATGAACTAAATTAAGACAGTCACCCATAGACATGCCCACAGCCTAACCCAATGTAGAGAATCCTTCACGGAGACACTCTTCCCACTCTTCCCACGTGATCCTAGGTTGTGTCAAGGTGACAATTAGAGCTCACCATCACAAGTGCCCCCTCCAAATGCATGAGGGAGGCTCCACTGTGACCTCATCTTACCGATGAGTAAACTGAGGCTCAGAAACACTGCATTACTCTGTGAGGTAGCACAACTTGAACCCAGTTCTTCCTCAGTAGGCAGTCTTTGGTCAAAGCACTAGGGACAGCTCAGTGACCTGGGGACAGCCTGAGTAATGAGATAGGACTATGCCCCTGGCTACACAGTGCAGTCAGAACCTCTCACTTTCCATCTGGAGAAGGAGGGCTCTGCTGATGGACAGTGACCTACCCAGGGTCACTGGCTGTCACTAAGCACTGTGGCTCAGCCCTGGGGTCTTTCCCATTCTATGACATCATCTCTGCTAATAGGAAGGTCTGCCTGCTCAGGAAGCCCCAGGGAGGACAGGTGTCCTTCCCATCCAGGGGTGGCCAGGAGCTTTGATCTAGATAGTTCTCAGAAGAAAGGGGAGGGGCAGAGGGGCAAAGCTCTCAGCCATCGTCAGAATTCCTATTACGCTGATCACCCTGGGGCGGCCCACCATAGGAGGGAGGGTAACCACAGCGCAGCAGCCCTTACAGGGTTTTCTGGGTGTGGAGCACCTGTCAAAACATTCTTTATCCATGAACTCATCCAGTCCCCAAGACAAGCCAGGTCTACTGAGGAAGGCCAGTAATCTCAGTTACTCTGAGGCAGAGACAGAAGGTCTGCAAGTTCAAGGCCAGCCTGAGCAAGACCTTGTCTCAAAGTAAAAAGTAAAAAGAGGACTATAGCTATAGCCCAGGGGCCTGGGTTTAATCCCCAGAACACTGCAAGAAAAAAAAAAAAAAAGTCACAGAGACAGCCCTGTGAGATGGCTACCATCACTACCTTTATTTTCCACATGATGATGCAAGGGAGCACAGAGAGGCTAAGGAACCTGCCCAGGGCCACAGAGTTACTAAGAGGCAGCACCAGGATCCAAGTCATTCCAACGGCAACTGTGTGCCACCACTCAAATATTTACAAAGCCCATGCCAAATACCAGACACTGGCAAGCTCTGACCCTTGCATGACAGCTCTGACATGCTGTTAGCAGGATTAGCCCCATCTTTTGGATGGGGGCACTGAGGCAGAGTGCTGCCTGAGGTCATGTTCAGTCCATATGCAGGAATCTGAGACTGGAGTGCTTTCAGGAATCCTAGGTAAGAAGGGCCAGTTCCTAACAACACAGCATGCATGGGACAGGCAGGCTGGGAAAAGCACTGTGTGGGTTTGAAATTATGTAAACCAAACAGGTAGATGACCCAAGGATCCCCAGGGTCAACTGCAGGGCCCAAGGCGGGCGGAAAGGATACAAGATGCCCTAGAAGACTCACCTCTGGGTCTGGTACTAGAGCAAGTAAGGGACAAGAATGAACATTCATCGTAAGCTGTGTACCTGGTTAGCTTTTCTATTTATTAAGTTTCTGTGTAAAGACTGGGGATGGAGCTCAGTGGTAGAGTGCTTGCTTAGGACCTGAGTACCATAAGGTTCACTGGCCTCAATTGTTTAATCTGTGAAATAGGGACACTTACGTCAGAGGGTGCTGAGGAATCAAGGAAGACAAATGAGAGGTGAGGACTGGGGACGTAGCTCAGCGGGCAAAGTACCCATCAAAGCCCTGGGTTCCATCCTTAGCACCACTGGTATAGTGGTGTATGCCTGTAATCTCAACACTCAGGAGTTGGAGGAGGAGGGAGTTCAAGGTCATCCTCAGCTACATAGCAAGTTCAAGGTTTGCCTGAGAGAAAGAGAAAAAAAAAAAAAAAGGCAAATGGAAGCCATTGTCACCAGCCACCATCCCCACCCCTGCCCCAAGGCCATGAGGATGTGATCATCAAGACTGGCTGTGCTGAGTATCTACTGGCAAGGAAGACGGAGAAGTCCATTCATTTACTCAGTGTTTACCAAGAGCTTAGCAGATGTCAGTCACAGCTCCCGGTCCTGGGGATATCCAGCCAGGGGTGACAAGTCTACAGGGTGGGGTGGGGGGGCTACAAAACACATAGACAGAGCAGCCCTCATCTGCAATGCCTGCGGCCAGAAGTCTTTTGGAGTAAAATATCTGCATGTCTGTAACCTTGGGGATGGGCCAGAGGTGAGACAGGAAACTCATGTGTGTTTATTTCATATACAGTTTTTCACACTGTCTGAAGGAATTTTATACCGTGTTTTCAGAGCACCTTTTTCTTGACTATGGACCATCATACGAGGTCAGGTGTGGATTTTTTTTTTTTTTTTTTGACAGTGTTTGGCACTGAACCTAAGCCCTCACACATGCTTGGCAAATGCTCCACCATTGAGCTATATCCCCAACCCTAAAGATCTTTATGACTATGTATCTGAGGCCTGGGGGATGGCTCTGTGAATAAAGTGCTTGCCATAGGCCTGAGTTTGAATCCCCAGAACCCACATGAAGCTGGGTACAGGAGCTCACTTGTGTAATCCCAGTACTCCTACAATCAAATAGGAGATGGAAACAGGAGAATCCCCAAAGCCCGTGGGCCAGCTAGCCTGGGTACACAACAGCTATCCCAATCCATTTCTTCATTGCTGTGACAAAACACTCTGACCACTACCAACTTGGGGAGGAAAGGGTTTATTCAGCTTACATCTCCCGGGTCACAGTTCATCAGGGAGCCCAAGGTAGGAACTCAGGGCAGGAACCTGGAAGCAGGAGCTGGAGTACAGGCCATGGAGGAATGTTGCTTACTGGCTTGCTCCCCTGGCCCCTGCTCAGCCTGCTTTCTTATGCAACACAGTCCTACGTGTCCAGGGGTGGCACCACCCACAGTGGGCTGGGCTCTCCCACATCACTCAGTAATCAAGAAGATGCCCCAAAGACATGGCCACAGGCCAGGCCAATGGAGGAAATTCCCCAATTGAGGCTCCCACAACCCAGGTGTGTCAAGTTGACACTAAAGCTATCCAGCACAGCAGCAGACAACATAAAAAGAGGCTTTATCTCAAACAGGGCTAGAAGGTAAGGACCAATACATGAGACTGTCCTCTGACTGCCACATGTGCTCTGTGCAGTAGCATGCCGCACTCACACACACAAAAATGCATGCATATATGCAAACATACGTGTACATACATCATACACACACATCATATACGCACAAAGATGAGAACTACACATCTGAGCTCAGTTACAGAAATCACAGAGATTTACAGAATGTTATGAAAGTCTGCATCCCAAACATCACTCAAATACATCAATTCCTGTCAAATTATTCCTCCCAGGTAGGTTCAAAGGCATGCCATGGAGGAATCACTCACTCGTTTTCTATGGCAACAGAAAGAGCCAGCACAACTTTGAGGGAGTTTTCAGACGCTCAGTTGTTGAACTGAGACTCTCAGCTGGGGACAACAGGTGATGAATACTACCAGACATTTCTCATCGTCATGAGCTCCTGGCATCTGGGGGCAGAAGCCGGAGCTGCTGCTAAGCATGTGGCAGTGCAAAGAGCATACCGCGATTACATGGCCCCCAAAATATCGAATGGTGCCAAAGTTGAGAAACCTATCCGGGCAGCCAGCCATACGCAAAGAGGCCTGGGGAACTGGTTGCAAAATAGTCTTTCTTATCAACCTGAAGAACAGGGGACTGGATCTAGACCAACTGTGATTTCAGCCCTGAACAGGCAGAGAGCACCCCATCTTCAAAATGGGGGCTCAACACTTCTCAGCTCAGGGCTTGTACTTGTTGGCTTGCTAAATGTTATCACTACAGTGAGCTTTTCTTTCATAACCTTTCTTTCATTGCCTTCTACCTATCAGAGGGTCTGTGTCCATGCCTTTCTACCCCCATTAAGGTAAGAATTCCTTGAGGTCTCACTCATTGAAAACCCCCTGAATCCCCCACATGCAGTGTGCTTAGCAGTGCACCTGCACATTGTAGGTATGTGGTTAACCTGGGAATCTGAAAGAGGGCTCCATCTACTTGGGTCTTCCATCCAGGTAGTGGTCTCATGAGTGGTCTCAGTGTAGGAAGAAACTGAGGGTCTAGCTAGCATCTCAGTTGAAGATAGGAACCCCCCATCCTATACCCTCTTCCTGTGTCCTGCCCTCTTGGCTCCCCACATGACATACAGAACTGAAATTTGCCCATGCCATCCCACGGGTCCAGAGAAAGAGAAAATAATTAACTCAGAGACGTCATAGCTCGGCGGGGCTGACAGTGGGTCACAGGCCACTGAGCCAGAAAACAGTACTAAAGTGGGGGTGAGGGGTGCTGTCTATCTCTAAAAGGGAGACAGACATGAACACTGAGTCACACCTAACTCCAGCAGACTCTGAGCCTGGCGGAAGCAGGCTCTGTTCCGCCCAGGGCAGTAGGGAATTGTGGAACAGTCTGTCACTGAGGGCGCACCAGGGTGCTGATGTGCAATCTGGATTTGAAGGGCAGATCTGCCTGGAATTTCTTGTTTCTTCATTGTTTGTAATGACTGTATCAATGTTTCACACAGTGACAAGTTTGAATAAAAGTGCCAGTCATAATCGAGTTTTTCAGATTTTTTTTTTCTTTTATATGTATGAGTGTATTGCCTACATGGATGTAAGTGTACCCGTGTCGTGCAATGCCTACAGAGGTCAGAAGAGGGCGACAGATCCCCTAAAACTGGAGTTAAAGAGGCTTGTTAGCCATCATGTGGGTGCTGGGAATCAAACCCAGGTCCTCTGCAAGAGGAGCCATCCATAACCGCTGAGCCCTCTCTCCAATACAATCTACTTCCCCCCTCTCCCTAAGACAAGAGTTTCACAGTGCAGCCCTCGCTATCCTGGAATTTGCTATGTAGTCCAAGCTGGTCTTGAACTCACAGCGATCTGCCTGCCCCAGCCTCCAGCTGAGATAAAAAGCATGCACCACCGCCCGGCCTTATCAGACACATTTTAAAGCAACTCATATGAACTCATACAAACCTCAAAGTAAGAAGCTTGCCAGTCAGAGGACAACATTAGCACGTGATAAACGGCATTAAATGGAAGAAAGGAGCCCTATCTAGTGGCGAGACAGAGGCAGGAATCCCGGAGTTGGCGCTGAGGAGGATACCGAACTTCAACTCGGTGGAGAAGAGAAAAAGCGCGTAAGAAGTGCCACGGGACGCAGGGAACCAACAAATCTCAGTACCCAGAATTAGGAGGAAGGTGAGTGAAGAAAGGGGGCGTGGGACACAGGCCCGGGCACCCCCACCCGGAGTCAGAAGTGGGGGTCCCCTTGCTAAGGAAAAGTGGACACCGAGAGGACTCGATGCAGGATGGCACTTACCCGGCGCCCCTCCAGGCGCGGGCCAGGAGGGCGTGGCCACGCATCGCGGGCAGCAGCAGCATCCGGAGGCTGGAGCGCGGCCGCAGGACGGAAGGTCCACGGTGAGGCTGCAGGGAGCGGTCGTTCGGGGCGGCTAGAAGGCAAGGCCTCGCCCGGAGCGCACCACTCGGCAGGGAAGGCGCAGCATCGCCCCGTCCTCCGGCCTCGGGGTCCTTCCGTGGGGACCACCTCCTGCCAATAACCATCGCTCTATCTTAGTATCATAGACGCCCCTGGGTACCGCGGAACCAGGGAACCTAGAGCAGATGCCCTGAAATAGGCACGCTCTCGCCTCCTCTCCTCCTGTCCTTATGGTATAACCCAGCGGGAGAGGGCGTGAGCCTCCCTGAACAATCAGAGACACGCATGGAAGCCTCCGGGCCAATCATCGGGGCGGACCTGTTGCAGCCTTCTTAGGGACGGAGAGAGTTGCAGGAGCCAATCAGAGAGCGGCCCCGGGACGCATGCTGAGCCTGAGTGCCAGGGGCCCGGGAACAGGTGCAGCGGGGCTCCCTGGTCCTTGGCTACTGCAAGGCTGGCCACCTGCCGGCCATCCCGCAGGGCACACTGCGGCCACCTCCCTGCCGAGGCCCAGGGTCTGCAATCCTGCATGCAGCCTGCCTTGCAGTTTCCTGGCCCGGCCCCAGCCGCACTCAAACGACCGCCTGACACTGAGCCCAGAAAGCTGCCAGCGCCTGCTTCCTTCCAGATTAGGATCAATAGGAGATTAAAAAAAAAAAAAACAAAAAACCCTAGCGGGCCTGTGCTTAGCTTTCCTTTCAAAGCCTCTAGCCGCAAAACCGGCTCCTGCCCCTCTGTCCCCAGATGAAAATGTGAGTTTTCTGAATGAGAAGTTGTTTGATGAGAGGTTAAAACTGCTTGTGAAGTCCTCTCACGAGGTCTCTGACACTGTCTCTGAAGATGCTGTCAGGTTTTTTTGTTTTTTCTTCGTTATAATAATGTTATTTCTCCAGAAGCGTCACCAAAGGCACCTGAGTTGGGGGTCACTCCAATCCTAATTGCACACGGCACTAGGTACCAGCCTCTCTGGTCAGTTTTCCTCTTCTGTAGGATAGAATGATAAATCCTGCCTTGACAACCCGTGCCACCTCAGGTCCCTCCTCTTCCTCCAAATTATACCACTTAAGACACTTTGGGAAATTCGAACCAAAGTTGGGTAGGAAAAGGAGGCTACACAAAGGTGACCAAAAGGACAGTTTCTCTTCGTCCTTGGAAAAGACCTCAGTTCACAGTGGAGCGGTTAATGTGTGGCCATTAGCAAAAAAGTGACTAGAACACAGTTTCAAATCCAGAGCCCAGGAGTTGACTTTATGGGCACTATGGGGAGATTTGAGAAATGGGGACTTTGTGGCTGACAGGACCTCAACTCTAGACCAGGCTGTGCCAGTTAGCCTGGGATCTCTCTGGTCTTCTGTAAAATATATTACAGCTCCTGCCTTATCTTCTTTCCAAAGATCTTATTATGAGTACAAGTTGGTGATGTGTCGGGGCTGAAAAGATGGCTCCATGCTTAAGAGCACATGTTACTCTTCTAGAGGACCTGGGTTTACTTCCCAGCACCCTACATGGTTCACAACCATCTGTAACTTAACTCCAGCTCCAGGGGATGATGCCCTCTTCAGGTGTGCACGGACACCTGCACACACATGCACATACACACAGAGACACACACATACACATAAAATTTTTAAATTAAAAATTTTAAATATATTTAATGTGTATGAGTGTATTGCTTGCATGCATGTATGTTAAGTTCACCCATGTGGTGCAATGCCTGAAGAGATCAGAAGAGGGCGTCAGATCTCCTGGAACTGGAGTTATGGATGGTTGTTAGCCATGTGAGTGCTGGGAACTGAACCCCAGTCCTCTATAAGAGCAGCTCTTAACCACTAAGCCATCTCTCCAGCCCCAATTTTAGTTCTTTTTATTTTATGCGTATGAGTGTTTTGCCTGAATGTTAAGCACACCATGTGCATGCAATGCCCCAGGAGGCCAGAAGAAGGTGTTGGATCCCCTGAAACTGGAGTTATAGATGGTTGTTAGCTGTCATGTGGGTGCTGGGAACTGAACCCAGGTCCTCTGCAAGAGCAGCCAGTGCTTGTAATCACTGACCCATCTCTTCAGCTCCCAAAATAAATATTTTTAAAAACCACATGATTTAAAATTCCCCATTTTACCACTGATTGGTTAATATGTTTGCTTTAGTCTTCTTACCCCACCCCCATCAATCACCACACTGAAAAGAAGCACACACCATCTGTTTTAAGACATTTTACTTTATTTAAAAGAAGCCAATATACAGGCTATAAAGGGCACAATATTTACAACAGTACAGTAAACAGGTTGGTTCCCAGTAGGATCAGTAGTCTTTCCGTGAATACAAACCCCTCCCCAATGATATTAGACCCAGCTGACACAGCAACCGAGGGGTAGGGCAGGACTAAAAACCAGATAGATGCTAAAATGTGCATAAGGGGTCATGGTGGGGACTTTGCCTCATGTCTCTGAGAGCTTGGGAGGACACAGAAATGGGGAAGTTGCCCAAGACTCAC